AAGGAAGGGAATGGGGGTAGGGACGAGGAAGAGGAGAGATGAAGAATGGGAGGAGGAGGAGGAGGAAGAGGAGGGGGAGAGAAGAGGTGTAAGGAGGAGGACGAGAAGAGGGAGAGAGTGGAGAAAGAGGGGAGGAATATGAATGACAGAAAGAGGAGATGAAAGAAATGAAGGAGAACAGGAGGAAGAAGGGGGTGAGGGAAGGGGGGAGAAAAGAAGAGAGAGAGGGGTAACGCAGATGGATGGAGGGAGGAAGGGGAAGGGAAGGGGGGAAGGGGAAGGTCATTACTGTATGTGTACGAAAACAAATTACTTCAGGAGCAACACTACAAATACAATACAAGTACATTAATTTGACTTTTATTTATAGTACATCATCAATAATACATTTTAGAGATAACCAAATACATTAATTAAGAAAGAATAGTACAGGTAGTTATGGTTACAGGTACAGAAACATAGTACAGAGAATACAAGAAAAGATAACAATAAACGCTGTAGTCGGGATGAGTTAAGAGGATTTAGTTACTGTTTATGTAAAGAGGAATTGTTTGAGGAGAGAGAGAGAGAGAGAGAGAGAGAGAGAGAGAGAGAGAGAGAGAGAGAGAGGATAAGGACTTTTTCCAAACTCTACAACATCTCCACACTCTCCTTCCTTCATCCAACCTTCCTCCCCAACTCCCCCTCCATCAACCCTTCCCAATCCCTCAACAGCTGCCTTTAATCCTTCCCTCCCTCCCTCCCTCCCTCCTCACTCTTCAGATCCCTCCTCCCTCCCTTCCTCCCTCCTCCTCCCTCCTCCCTCCCCCTCCCTCCCCCCACCCTCCCTCCCTCCCTCCTCCCTCCATCCTCCCTCACCCTCACTCCTCCTCCGTCCTCCATCCCTCCTTCCCCCTCCTCTCACTCCCTCCTCCCTCCCTCCATCCCTCCTCCTCCCTCCTCACCTCCTCCCTCCCTCCCTCCCTCTCCCCTCTCCCTCCCCACTCCCTCACTTTATAAACCAACTCACTTTTACAACCTTAACATAACCTGTTTTAATTTCACCATCACTGCGTGTGGTCGGATACTCAGAGGTCCGTAAGCTGATTTTCCATAAACTGTTTTATTATTCTTTATTTAACCTCAAGATATAAAACACTGAGACCTAGGCCACTGGTGTGTGTGTGTGTGTCGGTACAGGAAGCAAAACAAAGGGCATGAGAGCCAATGTTTACATACCTGGAGACTCCTAGGGGCGGCAACCTTTCTCACACCCGAAGTTGAATCGAGATTAAGACAAAGAGGATGTAAATATGACCTAAGAGATGACCCCAGACTCTACTTGTTAAGAGTCTCCTCTATTCGTCTCTGTGTGTGTGTGTCTGTGTGTAAGGTTCTTGTATATGCGGATCCAGGGATATCAAAAAGGAGGGTCCAAGAAGATGTGGGTGGGAATATGGAGAGATAGATGAACCCACCCAGCTGGGGATTGGGTGGTGGCTGGTGGGTTGAGGGTGGGGAGCTGTAACCCTCCAGAATTATTATTTTTAATCTGACCAATATCATAGGAGATACTCTGAGGTCAATAGTAGTTACTTTTTGCTTATACTAAAATACCTGAGTACAATACTGCATTAAAGAAATAGTATTGAATTTTCTGGGTGAAAGGAACTGACCCCAGGACCCCACCATGGATCCGCCCTTGTGTGAGTTTGTGTGTTGTTGAAGTTGACCAGAGGTTTAGTTGTTGGTCCTGTCTTTTCTTCTTGTTTGTGTTTGTTTGAAGTTTGAAATTGGTAAATTGAGAGATGAGATGGAAGGGGAGGGAGGCAGGGGAGGAGGGGAGACAGGAGGGGACGGGGGGAGGCAGGGGAGGAGGGGGAAGACAGGGAGGGACGGGGGGGAGGGACGGGGGAGACAGGAGGAGGGGGAAGGCAGGGGAGAGGAGGGCAGGAGGAGGGGAAGGCAGGAGGAGGCATGGTGGAGGAGGAGGGGGAAGACAGGGAGAGGGTGGGTTGTTATCTTTCGTTTATTCTTTTTTTACACTTTTTCTCTTTTCATTCCATCGACTCATTTATTCATTCGTTAATTTATCAGTTTATTAATCAGTCATTCCTTCCTTCATTTCTTCTTATTTCTTTATTCCTTTCTTTCTTCATTATTTTGTGAAGTTATTTGCCCACTTCTTTTTCATTTTCTTTCATTCTGTCCTTTCTTCTTCTTGCCCATACTTTTGGCTACCACTTTCATTACCTCTCTCTCTCTCTCTCTCTCTCTTCGCTCCGTCTCTCTCCTCTCTCATCATGGAGATTCACAAATGAGTACCCAAGTGCCAGTGGACCTCCTGCCCACACAATTCAGGAGTCGTTATGATAGGAATTTTGTGAAGCGCTGTCTAATTAGTCGAATTTATCTACCTGTCTAATTAATTTACCTTATTTATCTATCTTATTTACCTTTTGATTTATCTACCTGAGTTATCTACCTTATTTACCTGTCTGATTTATCTACCGATATCTACCTAATTCACCGTAATTACACGTGATGGTGGAGGTCTGTGGTCTGTGGTCTGGGTAGAATAACTCCATTGTTCTTGATATTCTTGTTCTACACAGTTCTGAAGACCAGCACTGTTCTTGTTTCCACGGGTTCAGATAGTAGACTGTTCCAGGTTCATCACCGCGATTGCAGCTAGTAGACTGTCTCACAGTCTATCATAGATGGTCAGCTGTTGATCGTTCCATAGGTCTATCAACATGACGGCTTCAGCTGGTAGATCTGTTCCAGTAGTTCTACCACCACGACGGTTTGCCAGTGATCGTCTCCATAGGTCTATCAACATGATTAGCTGGTGGAGGATCGTTCATGGTATGCCCATCACGACGGCTTCAGCCAGAGACTGTTCCATAGGTCTATCAACATGACGGCTTGGCTGGAGACGTTCACAGGTCTATCAACATGACTGTTCAGCTAGTAGACTGTTCCATAGGTCTATCAACATGACGGTTTTAGCTGGTAGATCTGTTCCATAGGTCTACCACCACGATGGTTTCAGCTCTAGTAGACTGTTCCATAGGTCTATCATGCCACGACGGCTTCAGCTAGTAGACTGTTCCATAGGTCTATCAACACATTGCTTCAGCTGGTAGACTGTTCCATAGGTCTACCACCACGATGGTTTCAGCTGGTAGACTGTTCCATAGGTCTATCAACATGACGGCTTCAGCTGGTAGACTGTTCCATATCTATCACCACGGCTTCAGCTAGTAGACTGTTCCTTAGGTCTATCAACATGACGGCTTCAGCTGGTAGCTGTTCATAGGGTCTATCACCATTATTTCAGCTGGTAGACTGTTCCATAGGTCTAATAACTTCTGTGTGAAAAAGAAGTCTTCCCCAACACAGCTATCACACCCCTGGCAGCTTCTTCATAGTTATCGAGAAAGATCTTTGGGTTGAATAAATATCAGTACAGATTCACAGGCAATTAAATCTTGGGAGCTTGAAGCTGGTAACCTGTTGAGTTTGCAGTGGTAAGACTGGGTTCACGTTTTCCACCTCTTTCAGGATTTTTGTTCTGTAGGAGGTCCTTCCATCATATCTTGTCTGGATTTTCGTTTGTTTTCAGTCAAATTAAGTCCTGTGGTGTATATTTCACAGTGGTGGGGACGGACGAGAGATTTCTACATCTGAGTGAACATTTCAGCAGCATTATAATCAAAGGAAAAATATTTATGATTCCCAGAGTACAGTTGATTTTCTTCACTGCTCCCACTTATTATGTGTGCTTTTCAGTGATGCCTCGGTCTCCTCCTTTATCTAAATATATTAAGAAAATATTATTGAAAAAATAGTCGTTTCTTACGTTGCTTCCTTCATGCAGTCCTATATTTTGCTCAGTTAAAAAAAAAAATTACCAACCGTACAACTATTTGAAACGATCTTGCAAATCATTCGCTATAGATGCTATGTATTCCTGACTTGTTACACTTCATATGTACCTAACCTAATTCAACCTAACCTAATCATACCACCGTATGCACCTAACCTAATTCAACCTAACCTGATCATACCACTTCATATGCACCTAACCAAATTCAACCTAACCTGATTATACCACTTATATGCACCTAACCAAATTCAACCTAACCTAATCATTCTCCATACACATCAACTATGTCAATACAAACACCATCTCATAAGGGACCATTAGTAGTCTTTTGGGTATATAAAATTATTTGACTACAGATCTAAACGTAGAAGCAAAGACGTGTGTGTGTGTGTGTGTGTGTGTGGACAGAGGGTATCGGTAACATACATTGAGGTAGGGACATGTCTACATTGTACTGGGTGGTGTGGTGTAGATGTCAACAAAGTCATTGGTCGTGTTTGGTTTGGTTTTCATTATTTATATTCTCTTATCTCTTTCTTTCACTTTTCCTCATTAGGCTCTCACGCCTTCTCCGTATCTCTCACATTTCTTTCTCATCTTCTTCCTTTCCTCGTCTTTAGTTCTTTTTTTTATATTTTAGGTTCTTTTTTTTTTTATCATTCTCGCCACTTCCTTCTTCATCATTATTTTTTTCCTCTCTTTCTCAAGGGGAGGAGGAGGGAGGAGAGAGAAAAGAGGAGAGGGAGGGGAAGGAGGGGTAAGAGGAGAGAGAGGGAGAGGAGGAGATGAAAGGTAGAGAAGAGAAAGGAAGGAAAGACAGAGAAGGGATGGGAAAGAAGGAAGGTGGGGATAAAGAAGGAGGGAGAGAGAGGGAGGTGAGAAACAGAAGGGGAAGGTGAGAAAGAAGGGAGAAGATAGATGGAGAGACATGGAGGGAAGGGGAGGAAGGGAAGGGAGAGGAAGGGAGGGGAAGAGAGGAAGGGAAGGAGAGGAGGAAGGAAGGGGAGAGGAGGAAGGGAAGGGAGGGTGAAGGAGAGGAAGGGGAGAGGGAGGAAGGAAGGGGAGGGAGGAGGGGGGAAGAGGAAGGAGGGGAGGGGAGGAGGGGAAGGGAGGAGAGGGAGGAAGGGGGATGGATGTAGGCGGTCAGATCCTAAGTGCTCTAACAGACATCAAGTCGTCGGTGAACAGCTGTGTCCTGAGAGAGAGTCTGTCAGATTGGACGCTTAATCACATACGCCAATTCTCTTATTGTTGATAAATATTTTGATTCGTAACTCGTAGAATTTTTTCCATCTTTTATTTTGATTAATTTCAACTAAAATCTAATTTGTTCTTTACTGTCAATAATTATTTAGTTTTTTTTCATCATCAAATATTATTATGTAAAACATTATTTTATATTAAGCACAATCATCATCATTTTCATCATCATCATCATCATCATCATCCCAAACCACCCCCCACTTCTCCCCCCTCACCACCTCTACCACAATGCCAACCACTACCAACCCCTCTACGACCACCACTGCAACTACTACCACCACCACTACTACTACTAAACCACCACTCCTCCCACGACCACTACAACCACCCCACCAGCTCCTCTACGACCACCACTACCACACCAACACTGACCTCCACCTTCTCTTCTCCCTTACAGGCCCAACGCGTGTGTGGTAGAGGAAATCCCCAACTCAGGACTGGAGTTTTGGACGGAGTGTCGCTACTGGCTCAACCGCAAGATATGTGGCCGCAAGACGTGAGTTAGCCCACAGTTGATGGATTGATGAGTTGAATGATGAATTGAGTGATGAAGTCTGTGATGGATTGATGAGTTGAATGATGAATTGAGTGATGAAGTCTGTGATGGATTGATGAGTTGAATGATGAATTGAGTGATGAAGTCTGTGATGGATTGATGAGTTGAATGATGAATTGAGTGATGAATTGAGTGATGAAGTCTGTGATGGATTGATGAGTTGAATGATGAATTGAGTGATGAATTGAGTGATGAAGTCTGTGATGGATTGATGATGGATTGATGAGTTGAATGATGAATTGAGTGATGAAGTCTGTGATGGATTGATGAGTTGAATGATGAATTGAGTGATGAAGTCTGTGATGGATTGATGAGTTGAATGATGAATTGAGTGATGAAGTCTGTGATGGATTGATGAGTTGAATGATGAATTGAGTGATGAATTGAGTGATGAAGTCTGTGATGGATTGATGAGTTGAATGATGAATTGAGTGATGAATTGAGTGATGAAGTCTGTGATGGATTGATGAGTTGAGTGATGAAGTCTGATACATCGATGAGTTTGATTGATGAATTGTTTTGCTAACTGAAGAATTAATGAGTTGATGAATTGATGATGCGTTTAATGTGCTAATTTGATGAACGTCTGTGTCTGTGTCTCTCTGTGTGTGTGTGTGTGTATATATGATTGTAAAATACATGTAAATCAACATCTCACCTTATACCTTATACCTTATCCCTAATCCCTAATCTCAACAGGAGGATTCGGTTCGAGTGTTGTGAGGGATTTGAGCGAATTACTGGTGAGGATGGATGCACAAGAGGTGAGTCACATCAACGAGTCACTCTTACTAAATATTTTGTCGACTTGAAGAATTAGACACAATGAAATATCGTGATAAATTCGTATATATATAAAAAAAAACACATTAAGAGGTTACAAAAATTAAATAAAATACAAAAAAATCATATAAATACATAAAGTAAAATAATACAACACCAAATTAATAATACAGATACAGTAAAAAAAAATTTATAACTATTCTACGAGTCAAAGATTTCAGAAAAAAAATTACACCCCAGGTATACGAACCAACACTCAAAATAGAATTAAATAACACGAAAATACAGTCTAATTCATCCCTGTAATACTGTAAATGCTGTAATATGTCCCACCCATTCCTTCCTCGTTACAGTTAAGCCTCTGATGAACTTGCTGGAAACGGCAGAGAGTCTTGGGGCGACCAAATGGGCGCAGTACATCCGTGAGTCTGGTCTGGCCGGGGAGCTAGAGGGTGCTGCAGCTTACACGCTCTTTGCTCCTACCAATGAAGCCTTCGACGTAGGTACTTCAGGGATAGATAGATAGATAGATAGATTGATAGATAGATAGATATATAGATAGATAGATAGATAGATAATTCCTTAAACCTCCACCAACACACCGCCAACCTCTCCACCTCCACTCACTCATCACCAACCAACCTCTCCACCACCACTCACTCATCACCAACCAACCTCTCCTCCTCCACTCACTCATCACCAACCAACCTCTCCCTCCACCAACACACCGCCAACCTCTCCACCTCCACTCACTCATCACCAACCAACCTCTCCACCACCACTCACTCATCACCAACCAACCTCTCCTCCTCCACTCACTCATCACCAACCAACCTCTCCACCTCCACTCACTCACCACCAACCAACCTCTCCACCTCCACTCACTCATCACCAACCAACCTCCTCCCCTAAACAGAATCTCAGAAGATCACTAAGGAGCCAGATGGAGTCGTATCGCGGTAACCCCAACAATCCTATCCTGCTGTATCATATCCTGCCTACCAAGCTGCTCAGTGAAGAGTTCCAAGCAAATACCATGGCTGAGACGAGATATCAAGGTCATAACATTAGAATCAACAAGTATTCAAATGGGGTAAGTTACATTGATTGGCTAAACGAATGAGTAACTGATTCATTAACTAACAGGAAAAAAAAATATCTATCATGTTAATAATGATATAATTACTAATACATAAATACCCATTTTTTTTTTTTATTCAATTTTAATCACTTTTGTATTCGTCTTATATTCTTTCATAATCTATCTCATCTTTATTCAATTAAATCGTAATTTTCTATTTCTCCCCAGATGACGACTATCAACTGTGCTCTCTTGATTCGTAAGGACCAACACGCCACTAATGGAGTTGTTCATTTAATCAACAACATTCTCGACCCCTCTGTAGGCATCTTGCAGAACGTGGCTGATATGATTCTGAATGTGAGTCTCATCTAACGTTTGGCCTTTATTTATTTCTCAAACGTTTCCCATTTTTTTTTATTTCTCAAACGTTTTCTTCCTTATTTACTTCTGAAATGTTTATTCGTTGGACTCCTATATCGGACCATAGTATCCTATTATAACATCCTATCATAACATCCTATCATAGCATCCTGTCATAGCATCTTATCATAGCATCCTATCATAGCATCCTGTCATAGCATCCTGTAATAGCATTCTGTCATATACCCAAGAGGGAGTTCCTTGATAATTTAATTCCCTTGTCACTATCCCCACCTGGTTTAGTCTATCCAATAAACCTATCCACCTACCTTGACTCACCTAACCTCCCACTATTCCACCTATAGGATGGGAGGTTCACAGTGCTGGCAGAGATCCTTGAAAAGAGTGGTTATATCAACGTCCTTCGCACCATGCAGGAATCCATAACCATTCTAGCGCCCTCTGACGAAGCCTTCCAGAAACTGCCAGAGTCCAGGAGAGAAAAAATTATTAATGACAGAGAAGCAAGATTGGGTGTGTAACGCAGGTCTATTATTACTATTACTATTATTATTAACAGTATCAATCCTTACTATTATTTTATTCTACTTATTAATTTTAGTATTATTGATAGGGTTATAATTGTTACTTTTGTTGCGTGTAATTGAGTGAGCAGTTTCTTAATATCTGTCTCTCTCTCTCTCTCTCTGCCACACAGCTCTCTTCCAAAACCACGTCATTCCCCACGTCATATGTGAATCCGCCATCACGGGAGAACATCGGGTGAAGACTGTATCTGATAACAAACTCACCTTCAACTGTGACATAGAGGGAGCATCCGTCGAGACCTCCAAGCTAAGAGGGAATTATAACCTTGGCAAGAACGGCATTATACATATGATTGATGATGTTCTTCTTCCCGATAGAGGTAAGTAAAGACGGTCGCCATCTTGATTGTTTTGAGAAATTATCAGATCGTGTTAATTATGGATTGTAAATTAGGGGTTAATGTTGGAACTGTCTTAAAAATTAGGGGTTAATGTTGGAACTGTCTTAAAAATTAGGGGTTGACAGTGTCTTAAAAATTATGGGTTATTGTTGGAACTGTCTTAAAAATTATGGGTTAATGTTGGAACTGTCTTAAAAATCAGGGGTTAATGTTGACAGTGTCTTAAAAATCAGGGGTTAATGTTGACAGTGTCTTAAAAATTATGGGTTAATGTTGACAGTGTCTTAAAAATTATGGGTTAATGTTGGAACTGTCTTAAAAATTTATAAATTACTGGGGGACAAAAAATTAAAATCACCCCACCTAGAAACCTCACACAACCTCCTCCCTTCATATCTCCTTCCCCTCTTAACTCCCTCCCCCTTTCCTTCCTTCCCTCCCTCCTTCCTCTCCACCCTCCCTTCGTTTCTCCTTCCCTCTTTCCGTCCTTCCCTCTTCCCACTCTTTCTTTCTTTAACCCTTCATTCCCTCCCCTTCTATTACCTCTCTATCTATCTCTCTTCGTCAGCCAAAAACCTGATCGAACTAGCAGAGAGCCGTCACTTGGTTACCTTCGTCGAGCTAGTGAAGAAGGCGGGTCTGGAGGAAACTCTTAGCCACACGGGCGACTACACCTTCTTTGTACCTGACGAGGCTGCCTGGTATGGTACGTAGTGTGAGGTACAATGGGGGGGTGCAAAGAATAGGGACGGTACCTCATGAATCATTCTATTTAGGGTGTAATCATTCTATTTAAGGTATAATCACCCTATTTAAGGTATAATCACCCTATTTAAGGTATAATCACCCTATTTAAGGTATAATCACCCTATTTAAGGTATAATCACCATATTTAAAGTATAATCACCCTATTTAAGGTATAATCACCCTATTTAAGGTATAATTACCCTATTTAAGGTATAATCACCATATTTAAAGTATAATCACCCTATTTAAGGTATAATCACCCTATTTAAGGTATAATCACCCAATTTAAGGTATAATCACCCTATTTAAGGTATAATTACCCTATTTAAGGTATAATCACCATATTTAAAGTATAATCACCCTATTTAAGGTATAATCACCCTATTTAAGGTATAATCACCCCATTTAAGGTATAATTATCCTCTCTTATTGGTATGCGAGATCATCCTCATCCTGAAAGTAACTTAAGTCTATCCTCTTGTTCTATTTACAAGACCTATGACCTGATGGACTTGTAATCAGCCCTGAATTTGTTCTCATTACTTCTTGTTCTCTGGACTTGTACTCAGCTTTAACTTGTATTCAGCTCTGAACGTGTACTCAACTCTCGACTTGTACTCGCTAATTCATGTTCTCATATCTGGAGTTACACTAAGCCCTGAACTTGAACACATCCCTGAATTTGAACTCAGCCCTGAATTTGTACTCAGCCCTGGAATCAACATTTTTATGTCCTCAGCTTTGGACTCGAATGTGTTAAACGACGCCCGTCGGGACTTAGATCTGGCAGGTCAGCTGGTTCGCTTCCATGGGGCCTACGGTCGCCACCTGACTAACGCTATCACTGATAACCAGGTGAGAGAGAGAGAGAGAGAGAGAGAGAGAGAGAGAGAGAGAGAGAGAGAGAGACTTAAATAACAACAACACACTCACACCACACAGGTAAGTCTCTCCACAACACCTAACACATAGACTTCTTACAGTGATTCATTAAAGCCAATGAGTATATTTCAGCACTACATGAAACCCTCCACTTATCCACCCCCCTTCCTTCCTTCCTTCCCTCCTGCAGGCGATAATGTCCCTGAACGAGGAGGATCCAGTGCGTCTGCAGGTGTGGCGTCGTGCACTTGGGGTTGAGGACGCCAAGATCACCGACAAGGACATCGAGGCCCAGAACGGCGTCATCCACATCATTAACAAGGTCATCATGCCATCCAACCGGTCCGTCAGTGACATACTTAGGTCCCTACCCGACCACACCTTCAAGTGAGTCTATCTATCTATCTATCTATCTATCTATGTTGTAATTTGTCTGTTCTGTTATAGAAGATTATACTCAGGCATGGGGCAATTAATTAACTAAATCGTAATCTTCTTTACTTAACTAGTTGACGATCAGGTTAAGTTGACTTGACTAGTTAGTTTTTAAAATACTGGTTAACTTAATCAATATTTTATCAAGTTATTCGATTATCTCTGATTAATTATCGATTAACTGTTTAGAAAAAATAACAATTATATAATCTAAAACACACCGACGGAATAGTGGTGAGTGGTTTGAAATTCTTATGTTTATAAAGAGTAATAAAGAGATAATGAAAGAATATGAAGTTTAAACATGAAGTGATGATAATGTTTGATGGCAGAAATGTTATTATCGTAACATAGTTCATGTAAGAAAGTATAATTGTGTTTTATATACTGTGATAATAACATAATTTACATGTCGTGAAAAATGTTAAGTAGAAAAATATAATCAATAATATAGAATTATTTCTTCTACAGACTTACTCATAACAAACTTGAGAAAGGAGCAGTGAGCCACTCCCTCCCTCACTGCTGGGGTCATTACGTTATTTAATCCACACGAAAATTCCTCTTAGCTAATTGGTCACAGACTAGTTAATGTAACTTAATCTAACAAATATTAACTAAACGAGTTAACGTTTAAAAATCAAGTTAACTGGAAAAAATGAAAATGAACTTAACTAGTAAAATTTGAAAGTTACTTGCCTTATGCCTGGGATGATGCAAGTCGTATAATGTACTGTAGATAACTCATATATATATATATATATATATATATATATATATATATATATATATATATATACTGTGACCTAGTGCTTCTGGTGTCATTATGCAGGGGTACCTATAACAGGCTTTAATGAAAATATAAAATTCTAGATCTGCACTTTTTGTCATTGGTGTCCTATATAATCAACGACATCACCAGCAAGGAATCGAACCCTCGACCTACTGGGTGGGACTACGGAACGCTTACCGGCTAGGCCACAAGGACACTAAAAGCAGATCTAGACTCTGTTATATTTCACACAAAGCCTGTTCACTAGGTACCCCTGTACAATAACACCAGAAGCATCTGGCAAGTGTCACAAGTATATACAGTATAAATATTATAAAGGGGCGTACTAAAGCCTAAGGAAGGAAGGATATTCCTTTAACACATAATCAATGTTATTTACATAATATCTGGCCAGTATGGGGAGGATCATCGTCAGGGGGTCGTGGAGTGGTGGTCCAGCAGGCGTCACGGAAGCGTTGCGTGTGGGGACATCTTAGGAGGTAGTGGATAAGGGTGCTGCTGTCGGGTCTTCTGCATAATGCACAAGAGCTTTGCTCAGGGGATGCGTGGATAATAGTCTCCCAAGCAAAGTCATACCCAATGATGATACGGGCAGCAATCACGTCCACTTTCCGCGACCCTTTCCCATAGACATACGAGAGGTCAGGAAGTTTACGGAGGACATCGTACCAGGTGGGCGGGGAGTCCAGGGGGATGGCTGCTTCCCGAGCTTCTCTCTGTTTGCGGCAAATTTGGGTCCTAATCTGTAAAAGTGTTCGAGGAACAACGTAGTCAGGTGTGGCCTTGTTGCAGCCAATCTTGGCAAGGCCATCTGCTGCCTCATTCCCCAAGATACCGACATGACTGGTTATCCATAGGAATGTCACAGGACGGCCTGCATCCTGAAGTGTGGATGTTAACCCTCGTATTCGGAGGATGAGGTCCTTATTTTCCCCTGATCCAAATGCGATCCCGTCGAGAGCAGACCTGGAATCGCAGCAGACAAGCAAGGGGCAGAAACCATCTGCTTCTTCCTCAGCGAGAAGGGCAGCAAGGAGGGCTATTAGTTCAGCCTGAGTGGAGGATGCCCCGTCAGAAACTCTGAGAGACAGTTTGATAGGCTCAGGGGCATCAGGACGGGAGATGTAGACACCAGCCCCGGCCCTACCTGTAGCGGGGTCAACAGAACCATCAGTGTAGAGGACGACCCTACCTGGGGACCAGTGGGCGATCCTGGAGAGGTGGTATTTGCAGAGAATAACAGGGTTCACCTGGGATTTCGGGAGCGGTCCACCGAGGGCAGCCACTTCAGGTTGAAAATCCAGCCAGGGAGAAGGAGACGAACCAACAGCAGGGGTGACAACAATATCAGGCAGGAGGTCGTGTTCCTGAAGGGCTCGCCACTGTCTTCTAGATGGAGGTCGGTCTCGGACAGCAGGAGTCAAGTTGGTTTGGACATAGTTGCCCCGAGGATCCCGTAGAATGGAAACGGCAGTTTTTAAGAAAAACTCCTGGACACGATCCTATAAGGGGGAAAGACCAAATTCGGTATATAGAGAAGTAGAGCGTGTCCACTGAGGAGCCCCAAGGATGATACGAGCAGCTTTCCTCTGGATAACTTCGAGACGGTTGACAGCAGTCCGACTAATGTTGACGAGGGCAGGGGCGGCGTAGTCGACACAGGAACGGACAAAGGACTTGTACATGGTGAGAAGTACAGGGATGGTGGCACCAAGGGAACCCCTGCACATGGTAGAGAGGGGAGCGAGACGCCGAAAGCATATGTCTCGAAGATAGCGGACTTCAGGGATCTGACAACGTGTGCGAGTTACATACACACCCAGGTATTTTGTCTCATTAACCCAGTCCAAGGGCGTTCCTGATAAGAAAAGGGGTGGAGGTACAACACGACCGTGCCACATGGCTTTTGTTTTCGCAGTTGAAAGAAGGAAACCAAGTGACTCGCACTCTCTGGAGACCAGATCAGATGTATATGTATATACATTTATATATATATATATATATATATATATATATATATATATATATATATATATATATATATATATATATATATATATATATATATATAATTTTTTTTTTTTCCGGGATTATCACCGGGCACAGGTCTCTGACCCACATCGGAGCCTGGGGGAAGAAAATGTAATAATAATAAGAAGAAGATCAAACCATAGAAACTTAAAATAAAGATCAGGGTAGAAATGACATGCAGTATGTGTTGTGTTGTCAAAGTAAATGAGGCAGAAAGTCAGATCAGCATCCTATAGATTTGACAACGGCGAATACAATCTATGGCTAATACATTGTAATACAATCTCTCTCTCTCTCTCTCTCTCTCTCTCTCTCTCTCTCTGTGCTCATTGTTATCAACTACGTCACTCTACTCAGTAAAACACGTCGATCATTTATCCACCACTGTCACCAAAAGCTATCTCTTCCTGACAGCCAGATAAAGAAAATATAAACACAAATGTCCTCAAGTAATCGTCTAAAATTGTGTGTGTTGCAGCACCTTCCTGGAGGCGATAGAGTCCGTCAACGTAGAGGGCAGAACCATGCTCAGTCTGGGTCCTGGCGACGAAGTCTTCTACACCTTCTTCGTGCCTACTGACCAAGCCTTCAGGTTCCTCAGCCAGGTGAGATGAGAGGCTCTTAGTCAGGTAAATAAAGAAACCATGGACATAGGTAAATAAAGACGATCTTGGTACTAATTAAAGAGGAATTTGTTATGGCAGGTAAAACGGAAGGGTCTTAAGAGAAGGTAACAGGGGAAGGTGTTCGATAAAGTAATGAATTGTCAGATTTAAACTACATTTCTAAATTATAACTCACTTCTCTGTGTTTCATAGAGTCGTCTTTTTTTTCTCATTCCGTTTTTTGTTAACTCTGGGAAATCCTTCGAGAATCAGTCTGTAATTTTCGTCTCAGTTTAACTTTATGCGTCTGTCTTCTTCAGTAGATTCTATTGCCCTCAACTCTAACCTTAAACGGGAGACTTTTCACATGACCTTCAAGCCTCTTCTGGAGATTGTATGAACCGCCTGTCCTCCGAGCTGCTCAGATGCCCTTATGATCACTTATCTCAACCTCTGTCATGAACACTAACATCTGTCGTCATCTGGAGACTGTTGGGTTATCTGTTGTCTTGAACTCACTGTGTGTCCCAGGAAGATGTTGTTATGTAGCCTGAGGTCCTTCCATTATTATTACCCCAGTCAACTCTTCCTTCGGGAACTATCAACAAGCCTAACATCTTTACCCCCTCGCCCCTTCTTCCAGGAGACGCTGAGGAGGATCAGGACTGACGGAGAGTATCTGAAGCAGGTGGTGAAGAACCATGTCGCCATCAACATGTTCCCAGAGACGTCCTTTGAGAGTAACCTCATTTACACCATCAATGGCATGGCAGGACCTTTTGACGTCAAGAAGAACATTAACAACGTTTTGATGGTCAGTCAACGTTTTCTTTTTCTCTACTGAACATTAGTAAAACATGTAGCCTCAGTTGTAAATATTCAGCCGTGTTTTAAGCTTTCTGTTAAACGTTCAGCTTTGGCTCAGTGACTCAGCTGTGTAGTTCTGGGACACCAATATATTATATGGCACTTAAGTATCTGGTAAAGTGGCGAGAGAACACATGGCGTCCTCCTATGGTGTTGAAGAAAGGAATTTGTTATGGGTTTATATGAAATAATAATCAAATGTGAAAATAAATGACTCAATCTAGCTCCTGGTGAGGCTTCATGTACCTCTTCCAGTAAATTTATGTATGACTTGAGTAATCTCAGAGGAGATAATCAAAGAAATACCATTCACTAGGGACACAGGAGACTGGGTACTACTGTATTGTCATCAACGTATCTTTAGAATATGAGTTACCTGAGGGAGTAATTATCACTAATGAATATTGGGGTTTTTGCAGGTGAACGGCCAAGAGGTTATCAGCAGTCACATGAGTGCAAACGGCGTCATCCACGTAATCGAGGAGGTGTTCTTGCCGGAGAACACCTACACGTATTCCTCCGTCAAGAAAGTCATCACCAGCCACAAGGAGGGAGGAGGAGTAGGAGGTGGTGGGAGGTCATCCTCGTCGGTCTCTTCCCGGACGTCTTCACGCAGGTCCTACAAGAAGGTGACGTTTGCTGAGACTTACGACGGTGGAGAAGCCAACCCGAATCAGCTGCCGGCCTTCCCTCAAGGTAGTGTGTCCTCCGCTAGTGCCACCAGGAGGAAGACTTCAAGAAGGAAGTCGAGGAGGAGGAAACCATCTCCTTCTTCTTCCTCCTCCTCCTCTTCTTCCTCCTCTTCCTCCTCCTCCCCCTCCTCCTACTCTCCAAGAGTAACCACTAGTAGCACGACCTCCTCTTCAGACGACGTGAGGAGTAACCCTGCCTCCTCCTATGCCGGCACCACCGCCCTTGAAGAGACACACCTCCAGGGCTCCGGTTTCTCTGCACGTGAATCCGAGGCCTCAGTCAACTCTCTCAGACCCTCTACAGGAAGTGGCTCAGGTCTCAATAACTACCCTGCGTCCACCACTACTACCACTACTACCACCACCAGTGAACCCGGTTTAAGGGACACTTACGCTTCCAACTCTGTCAACACTTACGACCCTCAAACCAACAGGAATGCTGAGGGTTCCTATACTGTCCGTCAAGGATCATATTCCTCTGCTTCTTATAAACCTTCCACTGCCTCGTCGCCCGTGTCGGTGTCGGATTCCTTCACGTCCGACACCCAAATGACCCGCGGTGAGGAGGACGATGTTCAAGGACCTCGTCGCGGTGATGCTTCCTTTTCCTCCTCCTCCTCCTCCCGCCGTAGAGATCCTGACCTGGATGGTGACGTCTCCTCCTCCTCCTCCTCCTCCTCTTCCCCGCCGTAGAATCCTGACCTGGATGGTGACGTCTCCTCCTCCTCCTCCTCCTCTTCCCGCCGTAGAGATCCTGACCTGATGGTGACGTCTCCTCCTCCTCCTCCTCCTCTTCCCGCCGTAGAGATCCTGACCTGGATGGTGACTCTCTCCTCCTCCTCCTCCGCTGTAGAGATCCTGACCTGGATGGTGACGTCTCCTCCTCCTCCTCCTCTTCCCGCCGTAGAGATCCTGACCTGGATGGTGATCTCTCCTCCTCCTCCTCTTCCCGCCGTAGAGATCCTGACCTGATCGTCCTCCTCCTCCTCCTCCTCCTCCTCCTCCTCCCGCCGTAGAGATCCTGACCTGGATGGTGACATCTCCTCCTCCTCCTCCTCCTCCTCCTCTTCCCGCCGTGATCCTGACCGGGATGGTGACGTCCTCCTCCTCCTCCTCCCGCCGTCCTGCCGGGATGGTGACGTCTCCTCCTCCTCCTCCTGCCGTAGAGATCCTGACCTGGATGGTGACGTCTCCTCCTCCTCCTCCTCCCGCCGTAGAGATCCTGACCTGGATGGTGACATCTCCTCCTCCTCCTCCTCCTCCTCCTCCCGCCGTAGAGATCCTGACCGGATGGTGACGTCTCCTCCTCCTCCCCCAGATCTGGCCGGGATGGTGATCTCGGGATCGTCTCTACCTCCTCTTCCTCCTCCCGCCGTAGAGATCCTGACCTGGATGGTGACGTCTCTACCTCCTCCTCCTCCTCCTCCTCCTCCTCCCGCCGTAGAGATCCTGACCTGGATGGTGACGTCTCCTCCTCCCCTCCTCCTCCTCCTCCTCCCGCCGAGAGATCCTGATTGGATGGTGACGTCTCCTCCTCCTCCTCCGTAGAGATCCTGACTGGATGGTGACGTCTCCTCCTCCTCCTCCTCCTCCCGCCGATCCTGACCTGGATGGTGACGTCACGAGATCCTGACCTTGATGGTGACGTCTCCTCCTCCCCTCCTCCTCCTCCTCCTCCTCCTCCTCTTCCCGCCGTAGAGATCCTGACCTGGATGGTGACGTCTCCTCCTCCTCCTCCTCTTCCCGCCGTAGACATCCTGACCTGGATGGTGACCTCCTCCTCCTCTTCCCGCCGTAGACATCCTGACCTGGATGGTGACGTCTCTTCCTCCTCCTCTTCTAGACATCCGCCGTAGACATCCTGACCTGGATGACGTAGACATCCTGACCTGGATGGTGACGTCTCCTCCTCCTCCTCCTCAACCTACGACCTGTCAGCCACAAGGACGAGAACCGAGCCAACAGGTTCCTCAGACCATGATAGACGCGGTTCCTCTGGCGTCATTACGTCAGGTGGATCTGTTTCTGGCTCGGGCTACTCAGGTGGGTCAGGTCGGTCGGGTGGATCAGATTATTCGGGTAGATCAGATCATTTGGGCAGAACTGGCTACTCTAGTGGATCAGAACGCTCAGATGGATCAGATTATTCAGGTAGATCAGGTCAATCGGGTGAGTCAGGTCGGTCGGGCGGATCAGGTCGGTCGGGTGGATCAGGTCGGTCGGGTGGAGCAGGTCGGTCGGGTGGGTCAGATTATTCGAGTGGATCAAGTCAGTCGGGTGGATCTGGATACCCAGGTGAGCCTGGCACCTCGGGTGGTTCAGGTTACTCTAGTGAATCAGAACGCTTGGGTGGATCAGGTCGGTCGGGTGGATCAGGTCGGTCGGGTGGATCAGGTCGGTCGGGTGGATCAGGTCGGTCAAGTGGATCAGATTATTCAAGTGGATCAGGTTATTCTAGTGAATCAGAACTTTTGGGTGGATCAGGGTCAGGTCGGGTGGATCCAGGTTACTCTAGAGAATCAGAACGCTTGGGTGGATCAGGTCGGTCGGGTGGATCAGGTTACTCTGGGACCAGAAAAGTGGGTGATCAGGTTCTCTAGTGGATCAGAGACATGCGAGGATCAAGACGGTCAGGTGGATCGGCTACCTAGTGAATCAGAACGAAGCTTGGGTGGACTGGTCAGTTGGGTGGATCAGGTTACGTTAGGAGGATCAAGACAGCGAGTGGATCAGGTTACTCTAGTGGATCAGAACATGCGGGTGGATCAGGTCGGTTGGTGGATCAGGACGGTCGGGTGGATCAGGCTACTCTGTGAATCAGAACGCGTGGACTTATCAGTTGGGTGGATCAGGTTACGTTAGAATCAGAACAAGCGAGTGGATCAGGTTACTCTAGTGGATCAGAACATGGGTGGATCAGGTCGGTTGGTGGATCAGGTCGGTCGGGTGGATCAGGTTACTCTCGAGAATCAGAACGCTGGGTGGATCAGGTGGTCGGGTGGATCAGGTTACCTAGAGGATCAGAAAAGTGGGTGGATCAGGTTAAGTGGATCAGGAACATGCAGGTGGATCAGGTCGGTCGGGTGGATCAGGTTACTCTAGAGGATCAGAACAAGCGAGTGGATCAGGTCGGGGTGGATCAGGTTACGTTAGAGGATCAGAAAAGCTGAGTGGATCAGGTTATCTAGTGGATCAGAACATGCGGGTGGATCACGTCGGTTGGGTGGATCAGGTTACGTTAGAGGATCAGAACAAGCGAGTGGATCAGGTTACTCTAGTGGATCAGAACATGCGGGTGGATCAGGTCGGTTGGGTGATCAGGTTACCTCGAGAATCAGAACGTTTGGGTGGATCAGGTCGGTCGGGTGGATCAGGTTATCTAGTGGATCAGAACATGCGGGTGGATCAGGTCGGTCGGGTGGTTCAGGTTACTCTAGTGAATCAGAACGCTTGGGTGGATCAGGTCGGTCGGGTGGATCAGGTCGGTCGGGTGGATCAGGTTACGTTAGAGGGTCAGAGCAAGCAGTTGGATCAGGTTACTCTAGTGGATCAGAACATGCAGGTGGATCAGGTCGGTCGGGTGGATCAGTTCGGTCGGGTGGATCAGGCTATTCGGGTGGATCAGGTTACTCAGGTGACTCCGGCTATCCTGGCGGCTCTAACAACTCTACAACCAGCCGCTCTGGTTACTCTAGCGGCTCTGTCTCTGGCTCTGCTTACTCTGGTGATGCTGGCTCAGGCTCTGGCTACCCTGGAGGCTCTGGCACTAACTTGGGTGGCTCTCGTGGCTTCTCCTCCTCCTCTTCTCGGTCGTACTCTTACAACTACTTGCGCGGCCCCGGAGGTTTGCAGTCAGGCCCGCCAGAGCTCCCAGCCACCACCTACGGCTTAGGGATCTTCACCAACAACTCTTCTTCTCACCGTAAGAACACTGTCGCGCCAGTTAAACCTAAAGGGGGAGGATTCAGCTATGTGGGACATTCCTACGGCCAGGATGTAGTGGGACACACAGACGAAGTGGTTGGTGGGGGCACAGCGTCCTCCCCTCTGCCCTTCACTGTTGGGTTAGAGGGTCGTAGGTCCCTGGGAGGCGGGGTGGAAGGTGTCGGGGGTGCTGGAGGTACCGGCAGCACCACACACGAGTATCACTTTTCGCGTGTGGAGGAGAGACTGCCGACCCGGGGCGATGTAAACAATGGCCTGCTGAGGAGTAGCGGGAAAAGTAGAAGCAGCAGCACTACCACCAGAAGTAGCAGCAGGCGTCGATACGGCGTGACTCGCACCGTCGTTACCTCGTCACGCCCCCAGCCGCTACCATTCCCACTGGAGGGTGGGCTAAGCCCCTCTACTACTCGAGATGATAAAGATGGCTCGTCTTCTGTTTCAGCTTACGCCTTCACAGGGGATGACACCATGTACGCTGACGGCACCGACTTTGCAGACGTCAAATCAGGAGGCAAGGCGACTGTCTCTCGCAAGGAAGCCGCCGCTCTTCGTCGACGCTTGCGCCGCAAGCGTCATCAAAAACGTGGAGGGAAGAAGCGCCGTGGCCGCAAGGGAGGGAGACGCAAGGCTGCTGCTTCACGCCACCAGTAACCAACAACCTCCAGGGAGACGCACCACTGGGCTGTGTCTCTCTTAGCAATAGGACCAGTGTCGTGTGTCTCTCACACGACACTGGATCTCCCATTGCATAATGAATCACTGCCTACTCTTTTTATGTTATTATTTTCTTCCCTCTTCTAATCTTCCTTCCTTCCCTTCCTGTACTTTAAAAGAGCATTACTTAAAAAAAAGTGTTACATTTTTAAACCAACCAACAACAACCAGCTAGTTATTTTTGCCTATTTGTTTACAAGTGCGTGAGGCCAGAGAGGAGACCTTCACTGTACAGTAGAGACGACGTGTAAGTTTGAGAGATGTCCCACGACCGCGACTCACCCCTGCCTGTATCATGGTGCTTTAGTCTATAAGTGTTATTACTAGCTTAACATGTATCTTTATATCTTTAATAAAATATAGAAAACAGTTTGATACCTGACTGTGTTTCCCTTACACCACCAAACCAAACCCAGTTATTAGGTAAATTAGATGTGAAGACTTCTGGTCACAGCAACAGGTCAGACTCGCTTCTTCTCACTTAACACGAGCCAATAATGATACAGAGATCTGAATGATATATATATATATATATATATATATATATATATATATATATATATATATATATATATATATATATATATATATATATATATATATATATTGGGGAACAACGGAGTACCTTAGCTAAGGTACTCCGTTGTTTCCATTTTCCCGTGTGATTTTATCAAGATTTATCTTATCCACGTTTTCATTGTGGATTTACATGAAATATATATATATATATATATATATATATATATATATATATATATATATATATATATATATATATATATATATATAAGAAACTATATTAAAAAACGAGTGACTGTAACACACAAAGTGGACCCCTTGTGGTAAAAGGGGGAACACTATCACCAACTTGTCACAAATACGTCCAGCGTTCGACTGCCATGGAGGGCACCAGAGTGCTGAGTGAAGGCGTCATGACGTAAAGAGTGTGTCTGAAATTGCATACAAACAACACTACAGTAGGTAATGGAACAGAACTTGCTTAACATATTACTATTCACGAATTATTGAATATTAATAAATACTCATACTGCATGTATATTGCCCGTGTGTGTGTGTGTGGCGACGGACGAGTGACGACGGGGACAGGCAGAGATGACTGCCGGAAGTCTCTAGTTACAACGCTGCACATGGGTAGTAGGTAGTAGGCAGCTACCAAACAGGGAGGTACTACAGCCTAGGAAGATATTGGAAGCATAATGTGTTGTCTAATGGTAGACCCTGCTGCCATATGGCATCGCAAAAATTTTTACCAAGTCCCAGGTTGTTGATTTGACTTTCTGCCTCATTTACACACAATTGCAGGGTCTCAATTGTTTCTTTTACTTGACAACACAACATTCATATAGCATTTCTCACTATTGATTTTTTTTTTATTTCTTTATAGTTCTTTATCATTATTATTATTACAGTGTTATTATTATTATTGTTATCATTATTATTTTACTTTTTATTATAAATTTTATTTACTATGAATAATTATTACATTTTTTCGCTCCCCAGGCCCCGATGTGGGTGAGTGACCTGTGCCCGGGTGAGCTAATCCCAGTAAAAAAAAAATAAATAAAAAGATAAAAAATAAGATGGTCGTTTATGCACTGGGATATAGGCAGCAGTGTAGTCCGGTCCTGCCTGTGCGACTGAGCAGCCCTTTCGAGGAACCACTCTGCTCACCCCACATGGAGAGGGGGCTAGAAAAGGTGCCCTACATAGCCAACCTGACTGGGCAACCGCACCCAGTAAGGTCATTCTTATGCGGTCGAAAACCCATTCGGTGGAAAAGTTGTTTGGACATACTTCCTAACCCTCATTGGTCCCTGTTCACTTAGCAGTAAAGTAGGTACCTGTTGTAAATCGAAAGTTGCGAATTCGTATTCAGGGACAAATTGTTGGAGCTTCCAATAACTTGATGACATAAAACCATTGACTCTTCAGGCTTCTACGCTCTTGACTCTTCAGGCTTCTACGCCCTTAACTCATGAGACATAAAGGCAAGCATGAACTTAGCATGCTTCCCTGTTGGGCGCTGTAAACGCTTCTGCGCTTCACCTTACACAGGATGTAGGGGGGTGTCCAATAAATAAAAACTAAATAAATAAATAAAAAATTCATAATCACAGATTAAAATAAAAACTATACAACCTCTTATGGTCGCTGCATGGAATGTCAGGACCCTTCTGGATACTGGCACAAATGAGCGTCCTGAAAGAAGAACTGCCCTTGTGGCAAAAGAGCTGGCCAGGTATAACATGGACATAGCAGCCATCAGTGAGTCCCGGCTCCCAGACGAGGGTAGACTCTCAGAACGGGGGTCTGGTTACACCTTCTTCTGGAAGGGTAAACCTGCTGTAAAGAGAAACGCATTTATGGAGTTGGCTTTGCCATCCGCCAACGTATCCTACAAAGGCTAACTGAAATGCCGATTGGGATCAATGAACGCCTCATGACGCCCAGAGTCCCAGTGAATCACTCACGTCATGCCTTTTTCATCAGTGCATACAGCCCAACACAGGATGCAGAGGATGACACCAAGGAGGCCTTTTACGCCGACCTTGACAGAGTGCTAACCTCTATCCCCAGAGAAGAGATGCCAGAGTTGGCAGAGATGCTGACATTTGGCAGGGAACCATAGGGAGAAATGGACTAAGCAAGTGTAATCCCAACGGCCTACTCCTCCTCACCAAGTGTGCTGCACACAACCTCACTATCACCAATACCTTGTTTAGGCAGGCCGACAAGTTCAAGGGTTCGTGGCAACACCCACAATCCAAACACTGGCATCTCATTGACTACATCATTATCAGAGAAAGAGATCGCCGAGATGTCCTCATCACCCGTGCCATGCGTGGCTCAGACCACTGTGACACTGATCATCGACTAGTCAGAGCCAAGCTCTCACTCCACGTCGCCCTAAAACGGCGAAGGCAGCACTCTTCCATAAGAGGTTTTAATATTAAGCATCTGGAGGATCCAGCGGTAGCACATGCTTTCAGAGAGCAGCTCGAACATGGGCTGATAACAACCCGACAATAAACAACCCAAACCCCAGTGCTGAATGGGGTATTCTCAAGACTGTCATGACAAAAACCTACAGAGACCCTCGGCCAGATCAAAAGAATACACCAGGGCCAGTTTGATGAAAATTACCCGGCAATCAATGTACTCGTCGATGATAAACGTGTTGCTTTAACTGACTGGCAGAACAACCCTTAGTCTCAGACCAAAGCAGAAGGCGGCGGCCCAGCGGAAACTTTGTAATCTAAGGAACGACTTGTTTAAAAATAAAATATGTGAAACACAAAAACTTGCAGATCAGCAAGAGATGCGCGAATTTTTCAATTCCACTAAAACATTTTATGAGCCAATCACTCGTGGTGTAGCCCCCCCCCCCACCACTCATCCGACGGTAACTCCATAATTAAAGAAGATGAACGCCTCGTTCAGCACTGGAAAGAGCACTACCACTCACTGCTCAACCGAAACACCGATGTGGATGTCCTGACTACCCAGAAGGTCCCTCAGCATCCAGAGCTGACCCACCTCAGCTATCCTCCATCCCTGGATGAGGTAGCTACTGTTATCAAACAGATGAAAAATTACAAAGTCTGATGGAATCCCAGCCGAGGTGTATAAAGCAGGAGGACCTCTGCTTACCAGCCATCTCCACTCTCTCCTGGAGAATATATGGGAAAAGAAGGAAATCCCCAAGCTCTTAAAGACGCCACCATCGTCATTATTATAAGAACAAGGGAGACCGGTCAGTCTGTGGCAACTACCGTTGAATCTCGCTGCTGTCTGTAGTCCAAGTCTTCTTAAACAGACTTCTTCCTGAGGCGGAAAACTTCCTCCCAGAAACTCAATGTGGCTTTAGACCATCACGTGGCACCATTGACATGATCTTTGCTGCCCGCCAGACACAGGAAAAGTGCAGAGAACAGCGTCGTGACCTGTACATGACCTTCATCGACCTAACCATGGCCTTCGACTCAGTCAGCAGGGAAGTCCTCTGGTGAACCCTCAGCCGTTTTGGCTGCCCACCAAAATTCATCGCCATTGTGAGGCACTCCACAATGGCATGAATGGAAGTGTCCTACCCAATGGCATCCAGTCTGAGTTCTTACCCATCCGAACAGGGATTAAACAAGGGTGTGTACTGGCACCAACTCTCTTTTCCATTTTCTTGGCTGCCTTCCTTACTCATGCCAGTGCCAATTTAGCCGGTAGGGTGGACATCCAGTACCAGATGAAGGGTCTTTTCAATATAAGACGACTCCAGGCAGGAAGAAAGGTGTCGGCAGCTTCCATTACTGAGCTTTAGTGTGCAGACGACCTCACCCTTGTCACTCACACTGAATGCGACCTACAGGAGATCTTGAACACCTGGGCAGATGCGTATGCACACTTCGGCCAAGAGGTGAATGTACGTAAGACTCAGATTCTCCTTCAGCCTGCCCCTGGTTCAGACACACCTCCACCATCCATCCAGCTTAACAGTACTACCCTCTCTAATGTTACCTACTTTCAGTAACTCGGCTCCCACCTGTCCACCACCGCAGACATCGATGAAGAGATTCAGCATCGGATCAGATGTGCATCTCAAGCCTTTGGTAGACTCCGTACCCGTGTCTTCAGGTGTAGGGAGCTGAAATTATCTACAAAGTTACACGTATATCGAGCAGTGGTCCTCCTCACCCTGCTATATGGCAGCGAGACATAATTCACAAACAAGAAGCACATCAAGGCACTTGAAAACTTTCACCAACGTAATCTACGTTCCATCCTCCAAGTTCGCTGGGAAGACAAGTGAAAAAATGCCAGTATTCTCGCTGACACCATCTGTAGGAGCATCGAGGCTACCATTATCCATGAACAACTACACTGGACTGGCCTTGTTACCCACATGGACGACAGTAGACTGATAAAGCAGCTACTTTACAGTCACCTAACGAATAGTAAACGTAACACTGGCGGGCAACTGAAAAGGTATAAGGATAGTCTTAAGACAAACCTGAAGAGGTGCCAAATCGACCCCCTCACCTGGGAGACGATTACTCCACACCGTAATGCTTGGAGGAGCACCACACAAGAAGGTATATTCTTGGACCTCTCTAAAGCTTTCGATACTGTTGGTTTACCTCATATCTGTCCAACAGGAAGCAGTATGTCTGCTATAATAATCACCAATCTGACTCCTCGCCAATCTTGTATGGCGTCCCCCAAGGTTCATTCTCGGTCCAGTACTGTATTTTATTTTTGTACATAAACGACATAGTCCACGCCAGCAAACTCATAAAATACAATTTATTTGCAGACGATAGTAATCTCTATGCCAGCAATTCAGACCTCCATTCTTTGATGAGAACTATGAACACTGAATTGACTAAAGTCAGGACCTGGGTAATACGTAATAAACTGACCTTAAACCTCGAGAAAAACCACTACACGATCTTTCACAGAAGGATAAACTTACCCCCAGACTTGGACCCCCTGTACCTTGGTAATATAGTCCTCAAACGCAAACAAAATACTAAAATCCTCGGAGTTATTGTTGATGAGAAACTTAACTGGAGAAACTACGTACAAGCCATACACAGTAAAGTAAATAAACAGTGCAGTATCATGCATCACACTTGACAGTCACTCACTCTCACAACAATGAAAGAAATCTATCATTATCTTGTTTACCAACACCTGATACACTGTCACATACTATGGGGGGGCCTCTGGCTCTTCAAAAACACACTCCCTGGTTACTGCACGAAAGAGAGTTGTACAGATCACACAAACGAAAAATTTGCTAAATTGAAAATGTTAAAATTCGAAGATATTAACACCTACTGCTGTGCCCTCTTTGTTTACAAATCTATGAATCACTTGCTTGACAATAATTATTTCCAGTTCCAGAATAATGAGAGATACAACTTAGGCACCCAGAGCTACTAAAGACCGGTCCACACGATAGAACAGTGCCCAGGGGACAAAGCCTGTGTCGCCGTACACACGGAGGTGCTGGTTGGCAGTAGTCACACTCTGCCGCTGGTAGCTAGTAGGTGGTCGGCAGTAGCTGCTGCGGTACGATCACTATGGTGTGTCGCAGGACAGTTAAATCGAAGACTATAGTGCTGTGTATAATAATTGCTACAGTGTGCAAAAAGAAGAAAAAACAGAAAAGGGAATGGTGCAAGGAATTGTTATCTCAACGAAAAGTTAAGGGAAGTCATGCCACGATTTTACGTGAACTGCAAGGTGAACATGAGAGAGACTTCACTAACTACATGGGAATGGACTCCAACACCTTCTATAGACTTCTCGCAGCAAACAGTCAAACCACCAGGCAGGCGTTCTTATCTGGTGATTCCCTCGACCACAGGCACGGACACTCAGTTGGTTTGCCCGTCAATTTTGCCCGAACAACGGGCATTAAGCGAGTGCCCGTCGGGCAGTGCTCGATCGTGTGGACGGGGCTTAAGACCACCCCCCATGCGCTCCTCTCAGTCCCAGACCTCCATAAAATATCATGGTGTGAAGGTGTGGAACAACTTACCCCCACACATTCGAGCAAAGACTACGCTCCCTTCCTTTAAATCATCTCTTCAAAAATATCTATTGTCTAAGTATTAATATTTCTTGTAACACTTACTATATTTACAGTACCTGCTTTCATTGTACCACCAAAACCGTTTTATCGGAAATTATCATGTAAATAGACAAGTAATTACCATTGCAATAAATGTATTTGCCAACTAGACATAATCCTGACAGCTCTGTCCTCTCGTTCAACCTTAATGCTGTACAACCCAGGTTGTACTGCTCCCCCATTATATTTATGTTTTTAAATTCCACTGTAATTTATGTATATACTTAAAATATAAATAAAAAATTTAAATAAATAATAATAATAAATAAATAAAATAAATAAATATTGAAGTGATAACCGTAGTAACATTATGAGATGTTCTTATTACCACCATGCTATTGTACTACTCCAGATGATACTAAATGTTACATAATACTTCCTTGAGATAAATGTATAGTATATATCAGGTGCTTACAGGATAGCTCAGGTTCTCAACTGGCTCAGTCATGTTAATTTTGTTATTATTATCCACTCTGTATCTGTGTTTTTATGGCTAAATAAACTGTTTAAATTCAATTCAGGTGTCAGTACTTTCGAGTAAGCCCGACTGCATAAGAGGTAGACAAGCGCCAACGCCGGAAAGACGCTGCCGCCCCCCACATGTGCAACATGTGTGATCGACGCTGCCGGTCCCGTATCGGCCTCTTTAGTCACCTCAGAGCTCACCAACCTAGGTGACATCCTTAATAACTCATATCATTGTATCATAGCTGGATAATCGTCATACTCGATTCCGCGTGACAGCAAAGTACTATTAGTAGTAGTATTAGTGTGTGTGTGTGTGTGTGTAATGATAGTGATAATAGTAAAGGTATACAACTGAGAATTAGGTATATAGTGTAATGGAAGACATGATTCTAGGTGTTGCTAAGTGTTCCACAACAAGCGAAAGTACAGCGGGGAGTGTCTGATACGGTAAACACAAGTACAGTACAATGCCTATATTGTATAACATTATACTATGTAATAACTAATACGTTTAAACTAATTAAATAGCTAATAATCCAAATGACACATTATACATAATACAGCAATCAACAAGGACCGCACTAAACACATCCAAATAACAACTTAACTATGAGATGATCAGTGGCGGCACACGAGCGAAGACCTCCTCTTATCCGTCCACTGAGAGGTAGACGGTATGACAGGTGAGTACTGTACAGTCAGTTGGTCCAGGAGTGAGTGGCGATGGTCAGCTCCACGCCGGACTAGACACGCCCAGTTGCCAAATATAAGCTGACAACTAATTACTTACCAGGGACGTACTCTTCCACGTTACATGATCACTACTGATATAGACACCATTTACAAAATCATTACACAAAGGCAAATTAGTGAAGCTTGCACGAGGCCTCAAGCACCATGGGTAATGGGTATACGAGTACGGGTAGGTAACCAGCTGCACACAACGCAGAACACACACAAACGAAGCCGGAACAATCAACAGTTATCATCATAATAAAAAGTGAATATCAAATAACAAAGTTTATCAGCGGTTCTTACATGGCAAAAAAAAAGGTGAAGAAATAAAAGAAAACTTACCCTTGTGTCTGACCTTTCTTAAATACTTTCATTAAATTATTATTCTCCATCCAATGATAATATGTGTAGGAGTGTGGTGTGGGGGCACTGTGGGCTGTGTGTGGTGTGGGAGCACTGTGGGCTGTGTGTGGTGTGGGGGCACTGTGGGCTGTGTGTGGTGTGGGAGCACTGTGGGTTCTAGTTTAATGTCACCCTACTCTTTATAATTCTCCAAAAGCTGTTCCAAACAATACAAAAATGCATTAATTCAAAATGTTACAGTCACACACGTATACATTATTACACAACACACTACAGGGTAATAACAACATTTATATAGAGAAAAAATTATTATTTATATTTAAACATCAATATACGGTATATCCCTTAATATATATATATATATATTTATTTAAAAAAATGCCACTGCGTAAGCCCAAACCCACAACACTGTACATACTAACAACAATTATATTTAAAAATTACAAAATAAACATCAATTTAAACTTGTCAATATTCGTTCTATTTTAAAGTCCAGGTAATAACGATGAAGAGAGGTAATAAAGAGAACAAGAATAACGAAGAATAAGATAAATGAGACATAAGATAGAATGAAGGAAATAAGGTAAATTAGAATAAAGTATCTCTCTCTGGTGAACTTTGTGTGTTAAGACTTGTTTAAATCAACTTGAAAAATGACCGTATTAATGCCATTCTCATACGTGGTTAACAAGAGCTGATGGTCATGATGGAGGATAAAGGTAGTGTAATAGTTAAGGTTAAAGGGACCAGGATAGAAGAGCACATACACAGAGGTCACACAATAGATCAACCATTAGAGAGGCCAAGAAGAGGTTACGCTGGAGGCCAAGGAGGTTATGGTGAAGACGAAAGAGCACGTAACTGTCTTTTACGAACGGAGAAGGGTGAGTAGGAAGGGGGCGCAGTGGTGGAAGGGGGCGCGGTGGTGAAGGGAGCGTCTTTCTCCTTCGTGCTCTCTCCTCGGCTTCCCTTTTGCCCTTTATAGCCGCTGGGACCTGGGTCACCTCGTCTACTCTCTCCTGGGGTGCCCTTCTCACCCCTGTCTCCCCGGCAATCACAAGACTGGGGAGGAGAAAGAGTGAAGAATTGAGAACTGGTCCTTTGCTTATGAAATCAAGTCATCGTAAATACACACATCAAATTATCCTAAATGAAAAGAGGTTAAATTACAGCCATTGCAGGAGATAATAGCATTATTAACATCGGTAACTGACATAACCCGTAACTACATCATCGTTCGTGTACCACAATGCATTCTGGGTAACGTCCGGAGTTATTTTCGTTCGGTTTGACGGAATTTATGTCATTTTCTGACGATTTTAAAGTGTTTGTTGATAGAAGATAACAAAATTGGTGACCCCAGACGATGGTTTATATGTAGAGAGTTTTCTTCAAGGAAATCAGCGTCGGAAAACTAGTTTGAATAGAAATGAAATTGAAATACTTTATTGACCATTAAACTATTACATCAAAAGGTCAGGGTAGTATACTACTCCTGCCCTCACCTTTGTCATCCCTTCTGGGGCTTACAAGAAGTAATAAATGTTAATACATTAATTATTTTTACATCACTGAAATAGTTCATTGTGACATGAACTCTGTACTACATTAAAATAACAGATAATGTTATCATACACAGAGATAAACGTTATTTCCTTGGGGCAAATTTTTATACATTACAGGATTATTTTAATCTTTCCATTATTAATCATCCAATAAACTTGTTTCTCTAAAGTAGTAATCTCACTGTTCCTGTATGGTTGGATTTTTCACATCCTAATACATAATGTTGTAGTGTATGTGTATCCCTCAGATGACACAGTTGACCCGACCCTCCAGTAATATTTGTATCCCAATCTTAGTCTCATTATAACAGTATCAACAGATGGTAAGTTAGTCCCGTAAGTTACATTAGTGTTTTGTAGAACATATAAATAGTGCTGGAAACTCTCGCTACATATGGCAATCACTTCTCTTACTTTTTCCCATTCCTCTCTTTTGCTTTTAATTTCCCTCTTTATCGTTCTAATACATTGTTAACAATACCTATATAAATTTTTTCTGCAGCTTTTTTGGCCAATTTGTCAGCCATTTCATTTAAATGACTCCCCCACATGTGATGGATCAATACAAACTACACAGTGCATTCCATTTCTTGCATTACTATGACCAGTCAGTTACAGATATTAACAATATGAAAGTTACATGGATTTTACTCTCCAAAGCTTCCAATGCACTTTTACTATCAACAGAAAAATATGTTTCTTTACATTTCTCTATAGCAACCTGAAGTCCTTTCCAAATTACGTGTAGTTCAGCCAGCATGGATGAGGTGTTGTTACTAATTCTTTTACAAACTGTTTCATCTGCATAACACTCATTGATAAAATATTCCCTTATAAAAACACCACAACCCGCTTAACTGTTACTTAATACTGATCCATCACAATATGTACAGTGTTTCGCCTGGTAATACTATTTATTTTCTCTAAAAAGACATTTCTTAAATAACTGGGATCCAATCTTCTTTTTTCCCCCTCAAGCTGTAAAATATCTACTCTAATGCATCCTTTCTGCCATGGACTAAACCATAAATAAGTTTGTAATGAAATCCAATATTTATCTACTCCATCATAATATTATACAGTAGCCTTGCATACTTGGACACATTGCCAAGATCTGTTCTTTCATTTAAACACATTATTGTACGGGACAACCTATGATCTCCTCCTCTCCTAATGGTCCTAAGAGTAGCGGCAACAGCAAGATCCTTTACTTTATGTTCTATACTTGGTAGATGTAACTCCATTCTCATTATTTCAATTCTAGTGTTCTATTGACAACCTAAAACGAGTCTCATGGCCTCGTTTTGTATCACTTCAAGCTTTTATATAAGTTTCTTACTATACATTATAAGGATGGGAGCTGCATAGTCAATAGTACTGATATAACCCATCCTTAAAATAATAATACCTGCGCTATTTACCTTCCATGCCAAAGCTCTTGAAGGTCTTAAACGTTCTTCACGTACTCTACTGTTGGATTTACAGTATGTACTATCGTGGACAAAAATTCGCTCTTTCCCAAAACTGAAGCAGTATCGACCCGCACAGCACACCCACACCAGATAACAATCAGGGTAAGTCAGTTCGGAGACTCATTCCCCGTGTCTCAGTTTGACTATAAGGAGCGAACTTTTGTCCACGATAGTACAGTCGACTACAGGAATAAGTATACACACTGTAGCTGTAAGGTCCGAAAATGGTCTGGTAACGTTGAAACTGTGCATCCAGACGCATGATGAAACTCAGCTCTACCACCTGTTATCTCTAACTATTTTCTGTTTCCCCTTCGTTATTCTTCTATTTACTCCTCTTCCTTCCTTTACTAATCCAAATATCAGTAAAAAAAAAGTAGGGTAAGAGAAAAAGTGGGGGAGGAGGAGGGAGCTGTACGATAACTGCAATCCCGTTCAGCAACAAGTTTACAACCATTGGATACAATATATTACTTATAATATAAACACAAGACACCAGTAAAACATTCACAACAAATGTATTTATAACATATATGTAGGAATAAAACATAAACTACAGGTCATTTTGTAATTTTGTCTGTTCTGTTCAGGACAGTGTTACCAGATATTTTGTCTCAAACACAAACCGCAGGTGTGTACTTATTCTTGTGGCCGACTGTACATCCCAAGGTATTTGTAAACATCAACTTTTTCTAGCCTTAATCCATTAAAAAATAAATCCTGTTCATAATTTCTGACCTGATATTTATTTATTTTTTCATTGTTAATTTATGCCCATTCTACAACAAAGTGTACTCAGTGAATCTAAAGCCTCCTGCATGTTTCTCATACCTTTACACTATATAAGTATATCATCAGCATATATTATAACCTGTGTGTCTCCAGGAAATTCGTAGCGAGCCAATATGTCATCAATATGTTAAAATGAGTGGGGCTAAGTACACCTCCCTGTGGGGTCCCCAACTCCATCTCTCTTTCTTCTGAGTACCAACCCGGGGACCATACTCTAGCCACTCTGTGACTCAAGTAATCCACAATCCATTTCAGCAACTTCCCAGAAACGCCTTAAATAAATTAGTTCCTCAAGTATGACTTCTTTATTTGCCCTATCAAAGGCCCCTTTTAGTCTACCTAAGTCCTACATGTAGCCTCGGAGTTATTCAAACACTTTACAACACAGTCTTCAGTACTTCTCCCTTTCATAAATCCATGTAAATTGGGCGTCAAGAGATTTTCCACTTTATACAACGACCTTTTTAATACTATTCTTTCCATCATTTTACTAAAACAAGAGGTCAAAGATATTGGACGAAAATCTCCAATGTTCCTTGGTATGATTACTGCTTTCTTCCACTTAAGAGGGATACAACCTCCATTATAAGACATATTAAACAAGCCTAACAGAGGCCCTTCTCTAATACCAGCCAGACATTTAAGGACATTATATGTTATTCCATTATCACCGGGTGCCGTAGACTTTTCCTTTTTAATCGCATATAATAACTCGCCTCTCGTTATAAGAACACCTGTATCATCCTCCAGTGTACACCGACTTTGCACTAACTCACTCCTAAGTCTACTCTTACTTTGTTATGAGGCCTACACACCCGGAGGTAATTCGGCAAAACTAGCAGTCCCAGCCTATACCCTACTAAGTTGACTGGCCCTGCCCTGTGGGTCAGCTTCCAACACCTCGCACTTTATTCACTTCCTTCCATATGTCATCCAATCTCTTGCCTTTAGCGATTCTCCCTAAAAAGTCTGCCCAGTATTTATTCCGCGCCTCTTACTTGATTTCACTACACATTCTTACAGTTTCTTTCAGTACCTCCTTGATTTCATTGTCATTTGTATTTGCACTCCATTCTCTTTGCACCTTTCTAAAGAGTTTCCTCCAGCCCTGAGCCATTTTGTTATTTACATACATATTACGTTTCCCATGATTTATTTCTCCTTTATAACTACACTTATCGTCAAACCAGAATCAATACTATGTAATAAATCATCATAAAAACTATCAACATCCTTTGGTTCATAATCTGTCTACCAATCCTGTACAGTAGTGATCAGCTCCTGTTTTTGGTCTTCCGGCAACAAATATCTTTTCCGCTTAATTAACTTCTATATTTTGTAAATATGTATAGTAATTCTTAATGCAAAATTATCACTAAACAAATCCCTAACTATGTCACCATTCGCTCTTATTCCACATGTATTAAAACATACTGATAATCTAACCTTCCTCCGTGTATGTGGGTAGGCTCATGATTCCCCAATATTTCAATATCCTCAAACTCCTCCAAGAATTGTAACCACCTCCTTCCATTAATGTTTCTGGGTCCTATAGTAACCAGGACTTCGTGTCTAGCATTAATATCACCAACCATAACACTAACATCACTAACACGTCATCAATATCCAAACTTTGATGATGTTAACAATATATATAGACCTTCCTTGGATGTAGATTTTAACACACAAACTTTCAACCCCATTCTGCTTGTTAGCTTTTACCAATTCAACTGGTACATTTTTCCGAACATAAGTTAACAGACCTCTTGTATTATTTCTATTATTAGCTGGGTAACAGAAACATTGATAATCACGTAACTTCATCAAATTACCATCCTCCGTGCCCGTCTCTTGTAAGGTTATATGTTATACCTTACAAGAGTCGGATGTTTAGGCACTAAAAAACTTCAAAATAGACAGGCAAAAAGGCAAAATAAAGTGGCAAAATATGCATTAAAAAGGCATTTATTCCCAGAGCAACTATAGAAATAAAACTAGAAATATAACTTAAGTACATAAGTTCCATAACTAATTCTTCCTTAAAGTAGACTAGTGGGACCCATTTGAGAAGGTCCTCTTCAATATTAATATCAACTGACATCGGAGAATAAAATAGAATGAATGAAACAGATCAAGAATGAGTACTGCTATATTTGTTGTGTTGTCAATAGTAAGAGAGACAATTAAGACCCTGCAATTGTGTGTAAATGGGGCAGAAAGACAGATCAGCAACCTGGGACTTGGTCACATATGGCAGCAGGGTCTACCATTAGACAATACATTATGCTTCCAATATCTTCCCAGGCGGTAGTACCTCCCTGTTTGGTAGCTGTCTACTACCTACTACCTTTAAGTAGGAATCTTAAACCAAGTAAACAATGTGTATTTGCTCGAAACAAGGTTAACAAAGTACTTGGGTTTATACAAAGAAGTGTTAGTTACAAGACTAGCGAGGTTATCCTAAAACTATATCTTGCGCTTGTGAGACCACACTTGGATTACGCGGTTCAGTTCTTGTTACCGTACTAAATGGATATAGAATCCCTAGAAAGCATTCAGAGGAGAATGACAAGACTAATCCCGGGCATTAGAGACGTAGAGTGAGGGGCGATATGATCGAGGTGTATAAATGGAAGTCAGGGTTAAACAAAGGTGATATAACAAAGGTTCTCAAACTATCCAACCAGGAGCGAACTCGTAACAATGGTTTTAAATGAAAACAAATTTAGATTTAGGAGCGAGACAGGTAAACACTGGGTTGGAAATAGAGTAGTGGACGAGTGGAACAAGTTACCAAATATTATCATTAACTCGAATACGCTGGATAGCTTCAAACATAGGGTGGATGGATAAATTAGCGATAGGGGTTGGGTGTAAACGGGACTGCCCAGTATGGACCAATAGGCTCGCTGCAGTTTCTTCCATTCTTATGTTCTTATCAAGTCATACCATGGTGGTTAAGAGGATTCCCTTATATAGGCCTAAATATCATACTAATTGTGTTTACTTTTTCTTAGATATTGTTTACATTTATTTATTTAATGAAGATTGGAGTATACTTTCAAAACAGAATTTGATATAGAAATTAAAAATAATATACCACGGGAGAAAAATATATAAATCGATAAAACAAAAACACTTTTAGTAAGTACTGATGGCTGTCTGTTATACGACTCATCCCTTATAAATCAACGGGAAAAAAAACCCAAAGATTGCTGACCCGGCTCCCAGAATGCACTGTGGTAAACGAACGATGACGTAGCTATACTTAGACAAGAGTATAACTTACCCCTTGACTTCCGGGTAGTCCCCTGATGCCCTTGCTCCCCGGGGGTCCTACTGGTCCACTGGGGGGGTTTTGTTGGCTGGATTTCTTACACTCCCCAATTGTGCCTTTATTGCCGGTCTCTCCCTGAACCCCTGATCGTCCCTTTGCTCCATTGGGGCCAGGAGGTCCACCAAAATCTACCCCTGAAATGGTAATGTGATTAAGAATACTGTGTTATTATTATTATTATTATTATATCTAGTTGCTTTAATAATCTTACTGTAACTCACATAAAACAAATATGTTATTCAATCAAATATAGACATTTTTATGACAAGTAAATGAACTGAGAGAGATAGAGACGTCGAAGAGAGATGTTTCTAAATTCCTTCAAGATATTTATTGAACGCCTCCACAATTACCTCCAAAACTCCCAAAAATTGCCTCAAAAATACCAAAAATATATTAACTCTAAAATTATATCCCCCAAAAACACACTTCTTCAAAATACACTACAAAAAAACTTATTCAAAACACACTTCAAAACATACCTCCTCAGAGTACATTCCAAAACACACTTCAAAATACACTTCAAAACACACTTCAAAACACACCCCTCAATTGACTCCTCTATTTATCCCCTCTAATTAAGGAACATTTTAAGAAACCCTCCAAAATGTTTTACTTCCCAGATAAATCCCCTCCAATTAACACACCTTCAAACCTTAGACTCCAAAATGGCCTTCAAAAAATTCACTTACTCACATATCTACATCCACCTCAAGAAACCTCCAAACCCATTCACTACAAAATTCAAAACCCGCCTCTACGCCAACTTCCAAAACCTACCTTAAGACCCGCCTTAAAATAACTTCAAACCCATCTCTAAAACTATATCTAAACCCACCTTCAAATACACCTCAAACCCACCTTCAAATACACCTCAAACCCATCTTCAAAACCACCTCCAAAACCCACTTCAAACCCTCTTCCAAAACCCACCTACAAATCCACCTAGAAAAACACAATAACATCACTGACAACAAACTCTACTCCAAACCCACTTACCTCTAAACTTGGCATTGAGTTCTTTTATAGCAGCACTGTAAGATTGAACTTTCGTTTGAAGTTCTTTAGTTAGCTGCAATCTATTCAAGAGAGATTCAAGACGATTCTCTAATTGTATTGGATCATATCTACAGGGTCTTCTTGGTGGGGGCTTCTGTGAATAAACAAAAAAAAATCATCAAGGTCAGAGGTCATCAGAAGGCTTAGCTTGATTAGAGATCAGGTCAGGTTGTTAGATTGAAAGGGACATGTGGTTGGAATACAATCAGTTTAGGGAGGGTAGGGGGGAAGGAGGGAGGGGGTGAATCAAGGTCAGGTCAGGTTCTTAAAGGGTAGGGAGGTTATGTCGTTGAGATAAGGTCAGGTCAGGTGATTTAGGTTTGGAAAAGGTCAGGTTAGGTTATTAGAAGAGTTTATGTGGTTGAAATAGGGTCAGGCGAGGCTAAGTCAGTCCCCACGACTTAGCGAGAAGCAAGGGATAGACTTTGCTGAATTGGATTGATGTATCCACCGTGGCCTCTAGATGCTAATATATAACCAGTACTAGGGATGACCCGACTGGGGGGGCGTGGTCTCGAGTTGGTCAAGTTGCCAGAAGTTGGTCACAATGATCTAAAAAATTCAGGGAGATGGTCAAGAAAGGACACACACACACACACACACACACACACACACACACACACACACACACACACGTAGCAAGAGGCAACAATGGGTCGTGTTTGGTTATGTTATGATGATGCCAGAGACGTAAGATAAAGAAATAAATAAAGAATTATGAACGTGAATTAGTGATCTATGAAAAGCTGTTTCAGAAAGTAAGATCGACACAAATATCATTAGGTTTCAAGCCTATACAGCAACAATGTCTGGAAAATACAATCGTGCTCAAAAAAATAATCTGATTATGTTTGAGAGACCAGTCGCTTACATGCTTTGTCTACCTCATGGCTCTAATTTAGTGATTGAACATGGTGTAATGCAAGTAAACTAATTATACATATGCATGATGTACTGGAATCTTGCTATGTATTTTTTAGCAGTAGCACCAGTCGTCATGAAGCTCTTAAGGAAAAGTTAGCACAAATTGAAGGTTCATTGTAATTAAAAAATCTGTCAAGACAAGATGGAGTGCCAGGTCAGAGTCAGTGGATATGCCTTTTGGAAATCTTATGAAGAGACATGTGAAGTTTTAGAAGAAATCAGAAATGTCAAGAAGAAATATGATTGAGAAATAAGGACAAAAGCTTATGGTCTCCTCTACAAAATTAAAACTTTTGATTTTATTGTTGCTTTGATGTTCATGAAAAATATTATGTAGATGTGTTGCAAACTGGGTATTTACATGAATCTGGAGCTTTTATCTCTATGAAAAGTACATTGAAAATACTTCAATCAGTACGAAGTGATGATGAGGCTCAGAAACATTTGCTGGAGGCTGCACTTAACTTGGCAAAAAATAATAATGTTGGTGGAAAAGAAGAGTTCAAGAGTGTTCACCATTAAAGGAAACAGCCCCCCCCCTACCCCCCTAAGAAAAAACTATTATGGTAATCCAACTCCAGTGCTCGGTATAATTTGTATTCCTATTAGTGTAAAGAAATGAATGCAGTTTTAGATATGATGATTTCTGTGTTGACTTCAAAATGTGAAAATCTGAAATCTTCATTCAATTATTTTGCGGATGTTTTTGATACTAATGTTACAGACTATATGACTCAGAAAGCCTTATTGAAGCCATGAAAAACATGTCAGAAACCTATCCCTCTGAAATACCTGACACTAAATCTTTCCAAGTTGATTTTGAAGTGTTCAACATGAATTTTTCTGAATATGTGGAGCAGCATCCTGATGTAGAAAAAAGAACCATTTGCTCAGCTGCAGAATGTACACTGAATGCTCATAGGAAGTATCATTTATTTCCTCTGGTGGCAAAAGTTTTCAGGTAAAAATGAAAGGTCTTTTAGCAGGCTTAAGCTTTTGAAAACATCCTTGAGAAACAAAACCTCAGAAAAACGGTTGCGTATTCTTATGCTCATAGCTTGTGAAAATGACGTGACTGATCAGTTAGATCTTCAAAAGACTGCAGATAACTGGCAGCTTGAGAAAACTAGAAGAATTACAATTTATGTTTAATTTCTATGAATAAATTAATGCTGATGATTTTATCCAAGCAGTAAATAAAAATATATATTTATTTTCATTATTTCTTTTTATTTGAATAATGATTTTACTTTATCCATCAAATTTCTATGTTAATCTTCATTAATTAAACATTCAACAGAGAACATTGTATAGTTTGCATGATCAATTTTCTTATAATCCTCATTAGTTGGTCAAATTTTATAGGCCGAGTGGCGAGTTGGTAAAAACAAAAAAATTACCCCTCCCCCCAAATCACAACCACTTCGGGCCTTCCCTGACCAGTAACTCTGAACTGATCGCTCTAAACACACCGGGGCCTTCTGCTCTGAGCCAGACCTGCAACACGTAAGTATAAAACAATTCTGTGTTTCATTGTGGACGTAAAGAATAATAACCGAGTAACTTCTGTTGATATGCAGTTTATATTGTTTTACTATTAAGATAATGTATTCATTTATGTGCTAGTGTTAGGTAAATCTAATATACTATAGGACTAGCCGTGTGTGTATCTGTTCTGGGCAGCCGAAACGGCACAATCGTTTTTCATCAAATTTGGTGGAAAAATCGCAAAAAATTCGTAGAGTGAAAATAACCTGGTCCCATGTCGATGGTTTCTTTAGGAAGGCATTAATTAACGATCTTATTTACGCTGGCAAAAGATGTCGCTGTACGCTGTCTGCCAGCCGGAAGATTGCAGTTATCGTACGGCTCCCTCCTCCTCCCCCCACTTTTTCTCTTAGCCTACTTTTTTTTAATGTTGTTTGGATTAGTAAAGGAAGGAAGATGAGTAAATAGAAGAAAAAAAGAAGAGGAAAAAGAAAATAGTTAGAGATAACAGATGGGGGGAGCTGAGTTTCATCATGCGTCTAGATGTGCAGTTTCAACGTTACCAGAGCATTTTCGGACCTTACGAGGCTACAGTGTACTGTATACTTATTCCTGTGGCTGACTGTACAGTACATGGAAAAGGAGAAGAGATAAAAAGATAATAACAGGAATGCATGGAGAAGATAGAAAGGGAGAAGAGAAGGAGAAGAAACATCATTATCCTGAAGAGGCGAGAGATGAAAGGAGATGGGAGAGAGGGATAGTGAGAGGTGGAGGTATGAATGGAAGGATGTGTTTTTTAAAGTTCCCAGAATACCATATTAAAATCACCTATTTAATAAGGAAGAAAAAGTGCTAAATATGATGAGTAGTGTAATGGAGAGACATAGAGATATATATATATAAAGATAGAGATAGTACGGATAAAAATGGAGAGAGAGAGAGAAGTGGACAAACAAAAGACATAATACAGACAGATTCAAGGACACACAGAAAGACAGACAGATAGACAGACTTATGAAAGACAAAGATAACAGACACATACATACAGACAGACAGACAGACAGCTGACTGACTGGTTCACATAAGACAAACAGGCAGACACGCCAACAACGGATAAGACAGACAGATTTGACGACACAAAGAGTACAGACGGGCTCACAGTCAAACACCACGCAGACGAACAGACAGTTGGGATGGCAATAGACAGGACGGATAGACTTGAGACAGATTAGAAGGCATTTATAAACAAGAATAACACCAAATTAACCATAGCTGCGTCAGTGAGGGTAGGAGGTCTTACATCCACCAGTGTAAATAATAAGATGCATTGAAAACTAACACCCTCGTGCGGAAAGAACATCCATGGTCGGTCAGTCATGTGAGATGGGCCTAAAACTGACTAACGTAGATGATGACTATGATGACTTAACACAGGTGATGACTTAAGCAGATGGTGACTAATCTAACCAGAATCAAGGTCACTTCTCTTCATAATATAATTTATCTCGGAATGATCATCGGTGATTCATAATAATATATTTTTTTTTTTATGATTTTAACCTCTCCTTATGGCGAATATTTTTTTAACTAATTATTCTAACCTTTATTCTATTCCTTCCTATAGTATACTACAGTAGATACTTACAGTACCTAATAACCACGACCATGATTATAACAACCACAACCATGATTATAACAACCACGACTATGATTATAACAACCACGACTATGATTATAACAACCACGACCATGATTATAACAACCACAACCATGATTATAACAACCACAACCATGATTATAACAACCACGACCATGATTGTAACAACCACGACCATGATTATAACAACCAAGACCATCTGGAAAACGATGTCGCTGTACGCTGTCAGCGGGACGGCGGTTGTGAGCTAGCTTAGAGCGAGCGTTAGAACTTTCACCCCTCTGTAAACTGTACCACCGGACTCGCCACCGGGTACGAAGGGCCCACGATCACTTGTGTATTAATATATGATATATCACCTAACCTTCAGTTCCCTCTTGTTAGTTCATTATTTGTATTTGACAGATTGACCAGTTGACAGTTGACATGGGCAGTTAATCTCCTTACTGGGCGATTATCATTAATATTAGGTTACGTTAGTTTAGGTTAACCATGGAGGTTATGGTACTGATATTAAGAGGTTGTGGCACTGTTATTAAGAGGTTGTGGCACTGTTATTAAGAGGTTATGGCACTGTTATTAAGAGGTTGTGGCACTGTTATTAAGAGGTTGTGGCACTGTTATTAAGAGGTTGTGGCACTGTTATTAAGAGGTTGTGGCACTGTTATTAAGAGGTTGTGGCACTGTTATTAAGAGGTTGTGGCACTTGTGGCACTGTCATTAAGAGGTTGTGGCACTGTTATTAAGAGGTTGTGGCACTGTTATTAAGAGGTTGTGAGGTTGTGCACCATTATTAGAGGTTGTGGCACTGTTATTAAGAGGTTGTGGCACTGTTATTAAGAGGTTGTGGCACTGTTATTAAGAGGTTGTGGCACTGTTATTAAGAGGTTGTGGCACTGTTATTAAGAGGTTATGGCACTGTTATTAAGAGGTTATGGCACTGTTATTAAGAGGTTATGGCACTGTTATTAAGAGGTTATGGCACTGTTATTAAGAGGTTGTGGCACTGTTATTAAGAGGTTATGGCACTGTTATTAAGAGGTTCTGGCACTGTTAATAAGAGGTTGTGGCACTGTTATTAAGAGGTTGTGGCACTGTTATTAAGAGGTTGTGGCACTGTTATTAAGAGGTTGTGGCACTGTTATTAAGAGGTTGTGGCACTGTTATTAAGAGGTTGTGGCACTCACCCTACAGCAGGTTTCGTTGCCCATGAAGTTGAGAACTTTCGTCAAGGAGTCTCGAGAAGGACAGCACTTTTTGCACTTCAAACACTGGCCATAACCTGGGGGCCCTGGTGGTCCTGATGGGCCCCTGGGACCACGTGTGGGGTCACCAGGAGGGCCACGTTGACCAATGAACCGATCTCCGCGAGGTCCTTGGTTACCTGGTGGTCCTCTTGGGCAGGTAGGACAGTTCTGGTCTCGGGAGCATCCTTTGGGGCATGGCTGGCCAGGGACACATGGCGGACACGGCGTCCTTGGACATCCAGGTGGACATCTTGACCCTAAATAGCACGTAGGACAAGGGGTAGGGGGACAGGATGGTGGACACGGTTGGCCAGGGTAGCACCTAGGACACGGCGAGACAGGACATCCAGGTGGACACGTCACATTTTGATAGCAGATTGGACACGGGCTTCGTGGACACCCCTGTGGACATGGCTGTCCAGGGTAACACCGGGGACAAGGTGTCGGTGGACACAACGGTGGACATGGCTGTCCAGGATAACAGTCAGGACACCATTTCTGGGGACATCCAGCAGGACATTGGAATCCTGGATAGCAGTCAGGACAAGGTGTTTGTGGGCATCCAGGAGGACAACGACTTCCAGGATAACAGTTCGGACATGGGGTTACTGGACATTTACTAGGACATCTTGACCCAGGATAGCACAATGGGCACGGCTTAACTGGACAACCCAGTGGGCAGTTATCCCCCATATAGCAGTCTGGACATGGCATAACTGGGCACCCAGTTGGACATCTTTGTCCAGGATAGCATGTCGGACATGGTGTTCTGGGACATCCTGGCGGACATTGACCACCAATATAACATTTTGGACATGGTGTGGTTGAACATCCTGGTGGACATGGGCTTCCTGGATAGCAAAGCGGACATGGTGTTTTAGGGCAAGTTGGAGGACATTTTTGGCCTGGATAACAAACAGGACACGGCGTTAGTGGACATGCTACAGGACAAATTTCTCCAGGGTAACACTTTGGACATGGTCGTCGTGGACACTGGGATGGACAACTCTCCCCAGGATAACAGGGAGGACACGGTGTCCTTGGACATCCTGGTGGGCAGGGACCTCCAGGGAAACATTCTGGACACACATTTCGGGGACATCCAGGAGGACACGGTTCTCCCGGGTAACAATTTGGACATGGTGTTTCTGGACACCCAGCGGGACATCGATGGCCTGGGAAGCAGTCTGGACACAGCGTTAATGGACATCCTGGGGGGCATGAATCTCTTCTGTAACAAAGTGGACATGGCGTTTCTGGACATCCACGTGGACAGATTTCTCCAGGATAACAGGTCGGACACGGTGTCCTCGGACATCTAGGAGGGCAAGCGTCATCTGGATAGCATGGAGGACATGGTGTACGTGGACACGTAGGGGGACACCGGTCGCCAGGATAACATAAAGGACATGGAGTTCTCGGACAATCTGGTGGACATTGCTCACCGGGAAAACACGTAGGACATTGGAATGGCGGACACCCTGGAGGGCAGTATTCACCAGGTCGACATCTTGGACACGGAGTCGATGGGCAACTCGGTGGACATCGATCACCTGGGTAACAATTTGGACATGGCATTTGAGGACATCCTATAGGACATTCTTGTCCTGGATAGCAGGCAGGGCATGGTGTCTGTGGACATCCCTTAGGACATGGGGTCCCTGGATAACATATGGGACATGGAGTGCGGGGACATTCTGAAGGACATCTATCCCCGGGGTAGCAATTAGGACACGGAGTAAATGGACATCCTGAGGGACATAGTTCGCCTGGGTAGCAAGTTGGACATGGGGTTGTCGGACACCCATCTGGGCAACTCGCCCCGGGATAACAAGTTGGACACTGTTCTTGGACACACCCGGGAGGACAGTATTCACCTGGGAAACAGCGTGGACACGGCGTCGTGCGACACCCTATTGGACATTCCTGCCCAGGATAGCACTTGGGGCATGGTGTCTGTGGACAGCCTTCAGGACATCTTTGCCCGGGGTAGCAAATAGGACATGGAGTAAACGGACATCCAGCAGGACAACTTTGTCCAGGGTAACAGGGAGGACATGAATCTTGCGGACACCCAGGTGGGCAAAGAGCACCTGGTGGGCAAGGAGGACATGGTGTTGGTGGACATCCTCTGGGACATGTGGTACCCGGATAGCAGGGAGGACAAGTAGTTGGACATCCAACAGGACATGGATCATCTGGATAACAAATAGGACAGGGGGTCACTGGACACCCTGCTGGGCATTGTGATCCTGGATAGCAAAGCGGACATGGATTTATTGGACATCCTTCTGGACATGGGAGGCCAGGATAACACACGGGACATCTTGAAACTGGACACCCAACAGGACAAGGTTTCCCAGGATAACAAGGTGGGCATGGTGTTTGTGGACATCCAATTGGACATGTGTAACCCGGATAACAAGGAGGACATTGCGTAGCTGGACATCCTCGTGGGCACGGCGAACCAGGATAACAAGGTGGGCAGGGAGTTACTGGACATCCTGCAGGGCATGGAGAGCCAGGATAGCAAGCTGGACATGGCGACGCACGACAACCCAGAGGGCATGGACCTCCTGGATAGCACGGGGGACACGGTGTCTGGGGACATCCAGGTGGACAGGGCATACCAGGATAGCAAGGGCCGCAAACAGGGGGCATAGGACAATAAGGACATGGGAGATACGGGGACACGGGGCCTGGAGATGGACACCCTGGCGGACAGTTTTCTCCAGGGGTACAATCAGGACACCTAGCTTGTCTCTTGGCGAAAGTCTTCTCGTTCAGCACTAAAAGAAGGGCATCGAGTGAGTCCCCAAACGGAGTTCTCTTGAGGTTGACAGGATCTAAGGAACCATTGAGCCGGCGAAGGACTGCAGGATGTACAGAGTCTAGGTGGGGTGAGAAGAAGTCCTCAGCAAGACCTTCCAGCACTGCGATGTCGAGCTCACGGTCGGAATCGAACAAGGACACCGCCACTGGTAGGAAGATGACAGCAACCAGGGCCAAGCACCAGGGGGGAGACCACACTATCCCCCTCATGGTGAAACAACTCCACTCAGGCAGGTGCTGTAGACAAGGCTGGTGTTAAGTTATTATTTCCTAAATATTAATATGTATGTATGTATGTATGTATTTGGAGACCTGTGGTGTAATGGTCAGCATGCTCGCCTCGCAAGCGAGCGGACCCAGGTTTGATTCCCAGGCAGGGTGAAGCTATGGTCAAGTTACTTTACGCCATTTGCCTCTGTCTACTCAGCAGTAATTGCGAAGCTGGGTGTTAATCAATTTGTGGATCGTGTTCCGGGGTAATGATTAGCCAGTACAGTTGGCGAGTTGTCCGGTCTTCTCGGACTATTCTTGACACTGGGTCATGCAGCTCGTTAACTTAGGATGTGGTTCATGTGTTGCCGACAGCTTCTACACCTTAAACACTGGGTCATGCAGCTCGTTAACTTAGGGTGTGGTTGTTGTGTTGGCGACAGCTTCTACACCTTAAACACTGGGTCATGCAGCTCGTTAACTTAGGGTGTGGTTGTTGTTGGCGACAGCTTCTACACCTTAAACACTGGGTCATGCAGCTCGTTAACTTAGGGTGTGGTTCTTGTTGACAGCTTCTAGGGGTCATGCAGTTCGTTAGGGTGTTGTTGTGTTGGCGACAGCTTCTTAAACACTGGGTCGTTAACTCGACAGCTTCTACACCTTAAACACTGGGTCATGCAACTCGTTAGACAGCTTGGGTCATGCAGCTGGGTTGTTGTTGTGTTGGCGACAGCTTCTACACCTTAAACACTGGGTCATGCAGCTCGTTAACTTAGGGTGTGGTTGTTGTGTTGGCGACAGCTTCTACACCTTAAACACTGGGTCATGCAGCTCGTTAACTTAGGGTGTGGTTGTTGTGTTGGCGACAGCTTCTACACCTTAAACAAATTCACGCCGAGGTGGCCTTTGAGCCGGCCATCCTCGTTACACGAGGGGCAACCATTATATATCTATATATTATGTATGTATGTATGTATCATATTTAAGGCCTAAGTTTATGAGTTGCGTGACCCAGTGCTTAAGGTGTAGAAGCTGTCGCCAACACAACAATCACACCCTGAGTTATATTCAAAAAAAAAATAATTATATTTGCCCCCGAGGGGGCTAGTTTAATGGGCACCTCCTTGTCATCCTGTGCAAGGTAAAGCGTAATATTAACGAGTTGTGTGACCCAGTGTCAAGGAATAGTCCGAGAAGACCGGACAACTCGCCAGCTGCACTGGCTAACAATTACACCACAATAACTTCACTACAACCACAATTATTTCACTACAACCACAGTAACTTCATTACAACAGCAATATAACTTCACTACAACCACAGTAACTTCACTACAACCACAATATAACTTCACTACAACCATTATATAACTCCACAAAAAAATATTCACTGCACTCATACATATCGTAAATTAATTATGACAATTATTATTATTATTATTATTATTATTATCATTATTATTGTTATTGTGGTGGTTTATTATTGTTATTATTATTAGTATTGTTATTATTATTATGTTTGATAATTCTAGGAAAACCAAACCGGCTTACATACCCTGTCCTGTGGTGGTGAGGCGTGTGGTGCACTGCTGCTGGCTGGTGAGAAGGCTGTCTGTATGTGTGGGGGAATGGGGGTTGAGGTGAGAGAGAGAGAGAGAGAGAGAGATGCGTTAGCAAGTGGAATAACAAATATCTCAAGAAATTATGTATCTAACTCTCCCCTCGTCTTCGTCCTCCTCCCACCTTCTCTCCCACCCCCTTTCCTCTGCACCTCATAACCCCCCCTTCTCTCTTTTTTTCTCCCTCTCTCACCGTGCAACAAGGAGGTGACTGTCTTGAGTGTTTGTGTGTGGGGTGTGTGTGGGGGTGGGGGTTACTGTGTTGTTTGTTGATGTGAGCGCCCAGCCTAGCCATGTATTGAGGCTGTACTGCGCTTAAAGAGTCAGGCTAGACCTTATCCAGACTGGTATAGACAAATTTATTTTAATATATTTTGTCCAATTGTGCTTTAATCTCTCTATACCCTGTCATCTCTTCTTCTTTTTTCTTCTCTCCTAATTGCTACTCCTGTCCTTCTTATTCCTCCTCCTTCTCCTCTTCTTCCTCCTCCTCCGCCTTCTCTACCAATTGGTACTCTCACACACATCCTGTATGTATAAAGTCCTTGAAAGAGTTGTTCTCAACCGTCTAATATTTCAAGTCAAAGGCAAACTGGCCCCTAATCTGTATGGGTTCATACTCGGGCGCAGCACACAGACATGCTTTGCAGAATATCTTGTTCACTCAAAAGATAAGACACAAACAGCCTTCACAGACCTTAAATGATTTAAGGTCTATGAAGGCTTTGATGTAGCTAATAAACATTATACTTGAGCAACTAGCTAATTTTGGCATCCCAGGTAACCTTCTGACATGGATAAAGGGTTATCTGTCCAACAGGTATGCCAGTGTTCTGTTTAGGGAAGTCAAAAGTACCAGAATGAAAGCATTTTAGCTTGGCACGCCTAAGGGAAGAGTGTCAAGTCCTATGCTCTTTAATATACTGATGCACAAGCTTATTGCTGACATTCCAGTTCAGCCAAACGAGGCTGTAATATGCTATGCTGATGGTATATGCATTATGACACAAACTAAGCTCAGGCTCTAAGCCTTGCTGGATGTATTTGCTCAGAGTACTGTTGAATGTGGTCTCATAATATCTGTTGACAAGACGAGGGTCCTCAATCCTTGTCCTGTCCACCCTCTTCCTCTTGACTTTAACATTAACAGCATGCCCTTGGAACTATGTAGCTCTTATAAATATCTTGGAATTTGTGTGAATGATGCAAACTTTGTCGGCAACCTTCGTGACAAACTAATGCAGAGCATTAAACCCCTGAGAACCCTTGTTGGTAAGAGCTATGGAATTAACATCACCTATGCTCGTACTTTCTATCTTCACTTCATTCGTTCAGTAGTTGACCATCATGCTCTCCATCTTGTGACTATTCCGCCTAAACAACTCAACAGCCTTGATGTAGTGAAAAATGAAGCCATGCTCATCATTCTAGAATGCCCAAAATCAGCCAGAGTAATCCCGACTATCTCGCTAACCTTCTTTGGGGCGTGGCTTCATAAAAGTGTTGCAGATCTCTTGAGACGTAATGTCCCAATCACCCCAGACGAACCTATTAATGCCATTCCTCCTTGGCTTGATATATCAATTCCTATTAATTACACTCCTGTTCGTAGTAAGCAAATGTTAAACACCGATGTGGTGAGATGTGTCACACTAGAAACTATTAACAGACACATAGAGAGTATTAAATCAAGTGAATGTCATGCTTTTACTGGTGGTTCTGTGCAGACAAACACAGGTAGAACAGGCTGTGCATTTGTAATATATAAAGAAAAGGAGATGATAGTGTCAAACAAGCAAAGGCTGAACAACTGGGCCAGCACAACACAAACTGAACTAACTGGAATCTACTTAGCTACAGACTACCTTAAAAAAAATGGAGGTGGGGTGATATTCGGTGACTCTCAAAGTGCTTTGAAATCAATGAACAGCCCATCAGGTTCTATGTCTAAAGTTGTATGTGATATTAAAAGAAATGTGATAACTGCCAATAAGAACAACTCTCGTATCGAAATTGTGTGGATTCCGTCCCACGTTGGAATTAGGTATCATGACCGTGCTGATGGAGTGGCCAATGAAGCATGTAAGAAAGAAAATGTTGACCGTGACCTTGGCCTGTCCAATGCTGTACTTAAAAACATTCAAGTCAGAATCATGAACTCTGATCTAGAAGAACTGAGAAATGCAGAGAGACCTGGCAGTTGTAGCTTGAGTAAATATGACAAATTTTGTGACAAGAGGTACCGGTATGGCCAGCATAAGGACAGAACCAGACAATGTGATGTAGTCGTGGCCAGAATTAGGCTAGGATACAGACACTTCTGGCAAGTTAGTAACGCTGTACCCACACCGGAACACTCAGCATGTAAACTTTGTGATAAACCTTTAAAGCATACACTTGAACACTATATTATTGAATGTGACACTATCAAAGACTTCAGGCCACCTGGCTTATTGTATCATGAACTATGTAATTACTACATTGAATCAGAGGTGCTTGAGAACATTCTTGCTGTTTCTCCCAAATTTGCTAGCCCACACTGATTCGTCTTCAATTAGAATATGACGTCCAATGTATATGAACCACTGTCCAGGCAGTGAACAGTGACATCACCCACATGACTCTGACCTACAGTATATATACTGCTAATGAATATGATGTATTTCTTTCTGTATGAACCTCTGTCCTGCATGGCAGTGAACAGTGACATCACCCACAAGTCTTTGTGTATGAACCTCTGTCCTGCGTGGCAGTGAGAAGTGATACCACCCTCAGTGTCAAGATCTGACTGAATTACTCAGAACAGGCAAACTGTACTACAAGCTTTGTCAATAAATTTGTTAAAATAACTAAACCTCCTCCTCCTCCTCACCATTTTCCTCTCCCTTGTTCTCCTCTTCCTCCTCTATCATCTTCCTTTACAACATCGGAAAACTTGAAGATTAAGACACCCTCCTGATTAAATCATTTATTAACCATCTTAACGCTAACCTAACCTAACCTAACCTTCTGTATAACGATAATTCCTGCTCTTCTTCCTTCTCCTTCTGCTGCGCCCCTTCAGTATGTGTTCTAAGACTCTCCTGCCACATTTCTTTGTGAATCATCACTTACTATTGTACCTCCTCCTCCGCCTTCTCCTTCTCGTCTCCCTGTTGTTCCTCCTTCTATGCTTCCATCAATATGTGTTTTAAAATTTCATTTCGATTTTCTCTCTAAATCTCCACTAACTACCTTTTTTTCTTCTCCTCCTCCTCCTTCCCTTCCTATTTCTCCCCCTTCATCTTTCCCTCTTCTCTAAAACACCACTAAATACTTTTCTCTTATTCCTATCTTTTATATCGTCTGTTGTGGCTATCACGTGTCTTCTGCCCCTCTCTCTCTCTCTCTTCACCTGTACAACATTGAACCCTCTATTAACGGACTGTATGAAAAAGAATACCCGTTATATCGAGGATCCGTTAGGTGTGAAACCCCCATCTAGCGGATTAAATGTTACGTTATTTTTGTTTTGCTTTTTGCGAAATCGGTGTATTTGCAAAATCTCTTATTCACAAAACTACAGGTACAGCTTAATTTGAGCTCCCGCAATGTTTGCATATTTTTCACTGGTTGCTTTTTGAAGGGGATTCCTTACGTCATGCCCATTAGCAGGACGAGCAGTATCAAACAAATCTTCAGCACACACACACACACACACATATCAAAGCACCGTTCCTTTTTTAGTAACTTTTTGCACTGTGGTATCTTCAACTGGTATTGCCATAACTACATACTTGTTTAACAGGCGATAGTCCGTCTGAATCCTCTTCACTTCAGGTTGTTTAAATTCCACCAGGCGATTAACAATGCTCTCGTTCTCACTCCTTGGCAGCACTAAATCAAAATATTCTTTCCTTCCATCCATAGTTGGTCACACTCCTGTTCCACTGTTGGTCACGATGAGAGCCCTGCAGCTGAGGCACGAATGCTTACCCTGGTGTTGCGGAGGTCACCTCACCACCATGCTACTGCCTCGGGATTGGCTAATCTAGAGTGGTATGACGCCAAGTCTTGAACAGTGTTTAAACTGAAGAACAAGGTAGTTTAAAGGTCTGACCGACAGTAGCTCTTGCCTGTTTGGAGATTTTGCAAATACACCGACAATATTATTGGTGATTTTGCAAAATGATCAACATTTAAGGTTATTTTGCAAAATTACTATTCTTTTGGTTTCTTTTCAAATTGACCGGATATTTTGCAAAAACACCGATTTTGCAAAAAAAAAGTCCGTTATATCCGTTATATGGATATTTCAGTGTTTCCGTATGTTAAAATATTCACATAGTATAGGTAACATTTCACCTAATTTCGTTCATTACTTTCTCATATTAACATTTTTTTTACCAGTAATAGCAAAGGAAAAATATTGATAAAAAAAAACGTACCCTTGAGAAAAAAAAACTTTATTACGTGATTCAGTCATACATATATAATTGGCTTTGTTTTTTAAGTTCATTAATTCGTTTACATGTTTATTGACTCTATTATTATAATATTTATCAGTATCAATAAATATTAGTCAACAATACAAAAGGAGTAATTTTTAAGATATACCTAAATTAAGGGACCAGTCTTGAAATATAGCCAAGAGCTACTTAAAAGGGGGTTGGCCTCTAATTATATCATAAACACATACTTAAAAAAAGGCCAATATATAACCTAATATATAGGGCTGCTTTTTAAGTATAATCAATACCTAAACTAAGGGGCTAATTTTTAGGTATCGTCTGTGCCTAAAATAAGGAGCTAGTTTTTAAGTATTGACCGTTTGTATTATAGAAGAATCAACCTCAAGATTACTATAATAATAACTACACGAACAATAATTTTAACAATGATGCTAATATATAGTATGAAAAAGAAGAAGAAGAAGAAGAAGAAGAAGAAGAAGAAGAAGAAGAAGAAGAAGAAGAAGAAGTAAAAAAGAGAAGAGGAAGAGAAAGAAGAGTTAAGAAGACACCATAAAATAGTATAAACAAGAAGGAATAACACTACAGAATAATATAAACACTGGCTATATTTCTCACCCAACACCATAGACCTTGGAATCCCAGGTAAGAGTAAGGTAAAGGTTATCCACACGACGCACGAACACCACTGCAGGCAGAAGAGGTGATAAGTATTCGTCTGGTATGGAGTGGGAGTCAACGCCAAACTATCCTAAATTGTACTGTTGGTTGGTACTAGTATAAGATAGTAGTAGTGTTGGTATTGCTTGCTAACAGTATAAAGGTCAAGAACGTGTCGGGATAAATGGCCATTAATACCCCCCCCCCCTTTAAAGTGGCAATGGTGTGGGACCTTTGGCACCTTTCGCTCCTTTATATCCTTTGGGACCTGGAGGACCAGTTTGACTTTTCCCCGGGTCTCCTGATTCTCCACGATCTCCATTACACCCGCACAATTTGTCTCCAATGAAGCCCGGGTAGCCTTTGTTGCCAGGAGGTCCTTCAACACCTGCAGGAGCGGAGTCAGAGCCGCTGACAGTGCAAGAACCAGGAGTACCAGGAGATCCTAAGGGGCCCCTCATGCCTTTTCGACCCTGAGGACCTTGGGGACCTCTGTCTCCTCGCCGCCCTGGGACTGTGAGGGATCAGAAGAGAGAGGGGGGAGGTAATTAACATCACAGGTAACTAATTAACATCACAGGTAACTAAACTAACCTAACCTAATGTAATATTTGAGTTGGGTGTAGTCCTCCTAACTAGGTGAGGTATATACAATGATGGTGCTGGTCAACACCTCCCCAGGACAACACTCACCGGTCAAAACCTCCCTAGTACAAAAAACACCCGGACAAAACCTCCCTTGGACAAAAAACACCCGGACAAAACCTCCCTTGGACAAATAAAATACAAAATACACAAATCCCCTTCCAGATAAAACCTTACGGAGATTTTGTTCGGTTTCCATACTGTATATTTATCACCTGATTATGACTTGTATATTGAACCACCAAGTATCTACAGTATTTATCTAATGCTATAATCATGTTTATCTTCACTCCCTAACCTAACCTAACCTAACCTAACCTAACCTAATCCACAGGTAGAGTTAGGGTGATTAATCTTCAGGTGTTTCTTAGTCTCTTATGTAATTCTCCTTCTCTCACTAATTGTATGTATGCGTGTATGTATGTATGTATGTATGTATGTATAAAATGCATTCAACTGGTTCACATGTGTGTGTGTGTGTGTGTGTGTGTGTGTGTGTGTGTGTGTGTCATCTTACTGTAACTTACTGAGAGGTTAAATACAGAGAAGCGTTGATGATGATGATGATGATGATGATGATGATGATGATGATGATGAGGAAAAATATGATGGTCATTGATAGTAATAATAACAGCAACAACAATGACAATGATGAACGATAACTCCACCATCATACTAAGTCAGCAGCATGCATAAGACAAGATCTACCGGGCGCCAGGAGGGGCCAACTCACAGTTTGGGTTGGTTTGCACACGTAGAAGGAGAGCAGCGTGCACCTTCATCCTCGTCTCGATCTTCGTTACGCCCCTCAGTCGCTCCTCCAGTAGGGACAGTCTCGCCATGATGGTCTCATGATCGAAGGCGCACGGCTCACGTCGCTGGGGAAGGTGTAGGAGGAGGAGGCCAAGTGTGAGGTGTAGTCAGCTGATTTGTGTTGACGATGGATGAGCTTATTTGTGTTTTTTCTACTACTACTGCTACTACTACTAGTAGTGGTAGCAGTAGTAGTAGAAGTACAGAGACAAGCTAAAGCATCTTAATTTGCACTCCCTCGAGAGACGTAGAGTGAGGGGCGATATGATCGAGGTGTATAAATGGAAGTCAGGGTTAAACAAAGGTGATGTAACAAAGGTACTCAAACTATCCAACCAGGAGCGAACTCGTAACAATGGTTTTAAATTAGACAAATTTAGATTTAGGAGCGAGATAGGTAAACATTGGTTTGGAAATAGAGTAGTGGATGAGTGGAACAAGTTACCAAACATCATCATTAACTCGAACACATTGGATAGCTTCAAACATAGGGTGGATGGATATATGAGCGATAGGGGTTGGGTGTAATGGGACTGGCCAGTATGGGCCAATAGGCCCGCTGCAGTTTCCTCAATTCTTATGTTCTTATGTTCTTAAGTTCTTACTACTACTATTACAGCGTTTTTATGGGCAATAGCCCACCCGGGCACAGGTCATCGACCCACAATGGGAACTGGGAGACGGGGGGAAGAAGCAAAAATTAGAGTTAAGAGTGTATGTTAATCTACACCACGAAGATGCCGGAAAACCAGCTTTTTGAAGTGAGACAGATTGTATGAGTATGGAAACACAGAAGAAGGCAGAGCATTCCACAGTTTGGCTGTGTGAGGAAAGAAGGAGTTACTATAACGGTTTATTCTAGTGTGACCAACATCCACACAGAAATGGTGGGCACTGCGGGCAAGACGTGTGTTACGAGCCCACGGCCTTGCCGGCGGTACACAGGATGCCAAATCCACCAAACATTGCCCGTTAAAGAACCTGTAAAAAAGAGAGAGTGAAGCAACATTGTGGCGAAGAGAAAGGGAAGAAAGATTATTAACTAAGGGAATTGAGTTAATAAGACGAAATGCCTTTGATTCCACCCTATCTAACAGTTGGACAGAAGAACCACCCCAGATATGAGAGCAGTACTCCAAGTTAGGATGAATGAATCCCTTCTATACTTGAAGTAACTGCTCAGGAGTGAAGTAGCTACGGCATCTGTACAGCATTCCCAGCTTTCTGTAGGCGGCTTTAGCAATGTTGAGGATGTGTGGCTTCCATGACATATTAGAGGAATAACAATAAGAACAACAACAACAACAACAACAACAACAACAACAACAACAACAACAACAACAACAACAACAACAACAACAACAACAACACCAACAACAACAACAACAATAACAACAACAACAATAATAATAATAATAATAATAATAATAATAATAATAATAATAATAATAATAATAATAATAATAATAATAATAGTAATAATAATAATAATAATAATAATAATAATAATAATAATAATAATAATAATAATAATAGTAATAATAATAATAATAATAATAATAATAATAGTAATAATAATAATATGTATTGTTCGAGACGATAAAACCAGGTAAAGTGAGCCACTGTTAAACACACGTGACAGGACAGACAGCACTGTTATACACACTTACATGACAGGAGTGAGAGCACTGAGATTTAACACAGCCTGGAACGTGAGCATTGGCCACGTATTTCAGGTGGTCCCAGTGGCTGATGTTAGCAGATGGTGGAACTACGGAAGGACACGCTATTGCTTGTTTGTGAACTTGTGTGCGTGTGTTGACAAATTGGCTATGCTGTCGTGGATGATCTGCAAGTGTAAGAGCAGTTTAGGTGATGACAGGTGTTGACAAGTGTTGACAGGTGTTGACAGGTGGTGACAGGTGTTGACAAGTGGTGACAGGTGTTGACAGGTGGTGACAGGTGTTGACAAGTGTTGACAGGTGTTGACAGGTGGTGACAGGTGTTGACAAGTGTTGACAGGTGTTGACAGGTGGTGACAGGTGTTAATAAGTGTTCACAGGTGTTGCATTAATTTTAAATACAGATTTATATATTACTTGTCATTGTATACTGATTTCAGAGGACAGTTTTACAATGCTAATCATAATTTCTTATATTGATTTTAAATTATATATAAGGGCATGAATCACAGGTATATTAATTAATGAGAATATTATGAAGATAGTATGTTAACTTATGCATTATTTGAAAGTTTCCTTAACTATCCACCTGGCATACACAGAGGTTAGAACTAATTCCTGTCATTTATACAAAATCTATATTAAACGTTTATTAATACTCGGGTGTATATAAAGATACAATTAATCTTTTCAAAGATTAAATATTGTTAGATAAATGGACTTGAGGTTGTTAAGTTCTACCTTTACTTAGAATAAAGAAATTAACTTATGTCGTGATACTTACAAAACAAGCGGCTAACGAGCTGATCAGTGGTGACGAGGATAAAGTAAAAAAAAACAGTAATCTCTTCAAAAACAAAAGAAAACCAACAAAAATAAAATCTAGAGCAAAATTTACTTGAAACCCACACTGTCTCTTGAACCTTGGAGAGGTCTTGAAGTTTCCAAGGACCAGGTCATCATCTTCTTCATCAACTTCTTCGGCGTCCAGCTGGGTATCCTTGGAGGACCTTTGATAATCGTGTCTCAACCTCCTCGCCTCAGGAATCTTCAAGGAGTTAAGAGCATCGTCCAGGATACGAATTTCTAAAGGCGGTGGTGTTTTATGGAGCTGTGACAAATCTGGGTTATTAGTTCCAGACGTGGCCGAGGAGATTCTCTGAGGAACCACTACCAGAAGAACGCTGGCAACGACCACCCACAACATCGTCCTTCTGCTGTGCCTACTGTGGGTTGATGACAGGAGGTAGAATAGCAGTACCCAGATATGTAAGTAGATGTACATTGGTTATACTCTTGGATGAGGAGGTAAATAATGTCTACTTAGAATGGGGGAGGAGGTAGGCAGATTAGCTATACCTGGAAGAAAAGGTAGATTAGGTCTATTTAGGGGGATAGGGGTTAGGTAGATTTAGTTATTAAGTCAAGGATATAAATATTACTGTTAATATTACATCATTATTACCTCTATCTTTACTATCATCATCATCATTATCATTATTATAGTTATTATTCAATGGTCTTCTTCTTCTATGATTATTATTATTATTATTATTATTATTATTATTATTATTATTATTGATAGGACATATTTTTTCTATGTAAGCCATTTTTGTCTCGCGTTAATAATAATAATAATAATAATATACTACTACTACTACTATTAATACTATTACTTCTGAAGGCAATATATATACGGTAGTAAAAAACTGTAGTATTAATAACAATAATGAAAACAATAACGATAATAACAATAACAGAAACACAATAACAGCAATAATTATAACAACACAGTTATCTAAACATCGAAATTATAATCACAGTTAAATTATATCAGTTATACCTGAAAGAAAACGAAATTAAACATAAAATAACAAACTTCACAAACGAGAATTATACAGGCAATTTGGGCCCAAATAGTGGAATTGTCACTGCTGAAATACATCAATTGTTTCTGTGATTTATTCCTTTCAGTACGAAATAAACTTAGGATGATATTACAGCCCAAGAATACACAAAGGGGATATAAATTAATAAAAAGGTGTCATGTAAAAGTTATTGACTGATTTATGTTAAAATTAGTTGTCTAGCTGAGAAACCAAAACACAGTGCTTAGAGACCGCTGGGGGAACTGAAATTTCTAGCACACTGACCTTACTGTATTCGTTATTTCACTGTATTGCTGTATTTTCATTATATGACTTATTCATACAAGGTAGCTACTGTACTGTATGTACTATATGAAACTGGGTATTTTGCAATGTTCTGTAATCCTTAAGTTTGGTGATTCTGATTTTGGGGTACAAATTAATACTTTTGTTATTTATGATTTTAATTTTACTAGGATTACGTGAAGATTAGGTACTTCAGCTTATATCACCTTAATATTAACCACCCTAACACTAACCTAGCGTTAACATAATCTAACTCGCCTCCAGGTAGCTTTAGGGGGAGTTTAATTATCAGGTCAAATTCGCTATGGTACCTAATTTTCAGGTGGTCCATATACTGTAACCTTTGATATAACGGTGTAAGTTTGTAAATTTTGATATATTATTGAGTAAAAAAGTATTTAAGTAATATTGTAAGCAGAGACATATTGAGGTGAAAGAGGTCTGTTGTTATAATTTACAGATAATGTAGATATTTTCTCACATTAGCCTCACCTGCGTGTTAATTAACTCATGAAGTCTTACCGAGGGCAGGCAGGTAGGGCTTCCCAAGGATCGAATCTATGTACTGGAGTTAGTGAGTTTCGACCCTGTGCACTCGTCTTCCTGGGGGATAGGTTCTAGCTGACTAGTTCTCCTGGATTATAGTGAACCACGCCCCTGTATGTCTATCTTGTATTGACGGCTCCTGAAGGTGGGGGGTGTCGGCGTGAGTCCTCGGCCTCTTATGCTCCTGCCGGGAATCCGCCGTCCGCTACTCAGAGCAACACATTGCCACCACGACCCAGCAGAACACAGCCCCGACACCTCCCCCCCCCCTCCCCCTCCCCCTTCCTCTCGCCCCCACCAAGGACCTGTGGCACTCCTTCTCCACCTCCTCCTCTTAAGCCCCCCTTCAATCTCCCCCACACCACCCCAACCTCCCGAAATCCCCCCAAACACACACACACATCAACAGTTGCAATATATATCTATACACTCTCACACCTCATTACTTCTACACATTCACTTTGATATTAATTAGTGATACTCAAGTGGTTTATCTGTAGTCATCTACCAGGTAGTTAAGGAGGGAAGAACGCGTACGATGATTTGTTAAATAAGCTGGATCCTTATTGGTCAAGGTCACCAGACGGTATGTTGTGAACTGTTGGCGGGCCATAACAAGGCCTGCACTGTGAGGGGAGGAGGGAGAGAGAGGAGGGAGGGAGGGAGGAGGGAGGGAGGGAGGAGGGGGGGAGAGAGAGAGAGAGAGAGAGAGAGAGAGAGAGAGAGAGAGAGAGAGAGAGAGAGAGAGACTTAACTAAAATAAGGATGAGGTTGGGGGGGGGTCAAGGTTGGTGGTGGATGAAAAGAAGGGGGGTTGTGTGAGGTATAGTAGCGATGAGAGAGAAGGGAGGGGCAGGGGTTTAGGTTAGGTTAAAAGATTTATTGACAAAGCTTGGAGTACAGTTTGCCTATTCTGAGTAATTCAGTCAGGTCTTGACACTGAGGGTGGTATTGTAGTGGATTTCTCCCCTACAAATGCTGTTTATCGCTGAGTAGCCAACCCCGCGAATTCCCCAGTGTATGCCTCGTGGTCTAGGTCAACCAGCGCCGCCTTACATGACGGAGGTCAACTACTAAGCCACGCCGACCTCCGCTGTATAAGACCTGACCTCGTGGTGACCGCTCTCTCTTCTTCTAGCTACAGCCGCAGCAAGCAACACCACCTCCTCCGCCGCTGCCTGGCGGCCCTCGCTCCCGCCGGCGAGCATGGCGACCCACAAGCTGTCCTCCTCTGAGCACCTTCACCAACCAGCTCTCTCTACATCACGCTTGTAACCATGCTGCCTTCCCAGCACCAAGCTGCATTGTACATCCAATACAACATGTATACAGAGAGCACATTGTGAGTTTCCTTTCTCCATCCCATCCTGAGTGTGAACCCAAACATCATGTACCCCACAGTATCACTTCTCACTGCCACACAGGACAGAGGTTCATACACAGTATAAGCCATATTCTATTTGAGGACTAATCAGTGTGGACTAGCAAATTTTGGATAGACAGCAAGATTGTCCTCAAGCACTCCTGTACTGAAGTCTTTGACAGCGCCACATTCAATAATATAGTGTTCAAGTGTATGCTTTAAAGGTTTATCACAAAGTTTACATGCTGAGTGTTCCGGTATGGGTACAGCGTTACTAACTTGCCAGATGTGTCTGTATCTTAGCCTAATTCTGGCCACGACTACATCACATTGTCTGGTTCTGTCCTTATGCTGGCCATACCGGTACCTCTCGTCACAAAATTTCTCATATTTACTAATGCTACAACTGCCAGGTCTCTCTGCATTTCTCAGTTCTTCGAGGTCAGAGTTCATGATTTTGACTTGAATGTTTTTAAGTACAGCATTGGACAGGCCAAGGTCAAGGTCAACATTTTCTTTCTTACATGCCTCATCGGCCAGTCCATCAGCACGGTCATGATACCTAATTCCAACATGGGACGGAATCTACACAAATTCGATACGAGAGTTGTTCTCATTGGCAGTTATCACATTTATTTTAATATCACATACAACTTAAGACATTGAACCTGACGGGCTGTTCATTGATTTAAAAGAACTTTGAGAGTCACAGAATATCACCCCACCTCCATGTTCTTTAAGGTAGTCTGTAGCTAAGTAGATTCCAGTTAGTTCAGTTTGCATTGTGCTGGCCCAGTTGTTCAGCCTTTGTTTGTTTGACACTATCATCTCTTTTTCTTTATATATTACAAATGCACAACCTGTTCTACCTGTGTTTGTCTGCACAGAATCATCAGTAAAAGTATAACAATCACTTGATTTAATACTCTCTATGTGTCTGTTAATAGTTTCTAGTGACACATCTCACCACATAGTTGTTTAACGTTTGCTTACTACCAACAGGAGTGTAATTAATAGGAACTGATATATCCAGCCAAGGAGGAATGGCATTAATGGGTTCGTCTGGGGTGATTGGGACATTACGTCTCAAGAGATCTGCAACACTTTTATGAAGCCATGCACCAGACCCCTTCACCACCCCACTACTGCCGATGCCTCTACCTCGAGGCTACCTCCCCCAACTGCGTCAGATATCTCTCACTGGAAATGTTCTCTCTGTCATGAACGAGGAGTCAATGTCTGGCACTGTTGCACCAGACGCCAGCCCGCCACTCCAGTCTTGCAATCACCGCCGCCTTATGTGTCGCTGGTGGGTTCTAGTGCATCTGCATCTTTGCCGCAGGATGCCACACCAAATGTCACCTCTACTAATCCTGATTCTGTCGAAGTTCTTGCCCTTCACGATGCTGTCAACTCTGATGTCTCGGTATGTCTCACTTGCAGCACGTCTTGATGCCATAGAAGCTCGCATTGATGGTCTCTTCTCTTGTAGAAACTCAGCAGGTCATCATCACTTCTCTCACCACCCTTACTGAAAAGCTAGACACTCGCCTCGAGGGGACCATTAGCCCCCTGGCCCCCTCGCATGGCGCACCACAAAGCGATGCCCGTGTCACCTCCTCTTCCACACCTGGCTCTCGTTAGGATAAAAGTCAAGTTTGATAACCGGATACCGCTTAACATTATCTCATGGAATGTCTGTGGAATCAGAAATGATGCCAAACTCACTACAATTAAAGGTTATGTTTATCACCATCATCCAGATGTTATATTCATCCAGGAAGCCTTTGCTGTCTGATCTCTATTTCGAGGGATAGCTCCTCCGCTTACTGGCTACATTCCTTATGTTCACCTTCAGCCTTCAAAGGGTGAGGAAGTCGTCACTGCCCGCTGACGCGGCCGTGGTCTCTTGACCATGGAGACAGCTGCCAGCCTGGTTTGTCGGGCCCCTCCCCTTCCCCATACCCTCCTCCCCACCAACAGTACAGTGCAAAGACTGATGATCAACCCACAAGTGATATACTAAAGTGACAATTTCAACTCGAAAGGAAGAAACAACTGTTAGAGCGACAATCGTAATTAGAGGTCAATGTTGACCTGACCGAACCAGACACACTCAGTCCGCAGTATACTCGCCACCATCAACACTGGATGATAAGCCAAGAAACACTCCAAACTACATCAGGAGAGGGCTCCCTACTCCACCCAAGTGAGGAATTATGAATTCCCTAACTACATCACATGAGGAACAAGAACCATCTCCAACACCCTGTGTGAGCTGAAGGACCTCCCTCGACCACGTGGTGGACCTGCAGCTGTAGTGAGGTAGCGGATTAACACCCAGGTATGACGCAACGACCATCCAGACAATGGACGCCAACAACAGGTCACAAGAATGTCTACAAGTCCAGCTCAAACATTACCAGATCTATATTTCATCTATATGTTGACTCTTTGTTTATTTATTTTTGTATTGGAAGGTTTTGTCAATCAAGTGATCCACTTCCCGCTTCCACCATATGTAACCTATCACCTCTGTTCATTGTATATTTTCAGCCTTCGGGCTGCCATGTTATCTTAATAAACCATTAATTATTATTAATATTATTTACTATTATCTTGTCAGGAATGGTCTCATCAGCTACGTCTGTTCCTCCATACCATATCGACTTCTTTGCTGCTCTGAGGATGACAATATGACCTTCCAGCTTCTTGAGATAGCAGTGGGTGAGGGCAAGATCCGTCTATGAAATGTCTACTCTGCCCATCAAGATTAATCTCTCTGTCCTCCCTACTCCTCCGATCTCTGGTATGATCTACATGGGAGATTTCAACGGAAATTTCAACTCCCAGCTGGACCTCCTCCTGTCTAGAGTCATAACCGTATTACCATCCCTCTGAAGTATTGTCTTACCTACATCTCGTACATAAAAACATAAGAACATAAGAATGGAGGAAACTGCAGCGGGCCTATTGGCCCATACTGGGCAGTCCCATTTACACCCAACCCCTGTTGCACATATATCCATCCAACCTATGTTTGAAGCTATCCAGCGTATTCGAGTTAATCTAACCTTCTCCCCACATTCGATTTAAAGTCACCGAAGAAGTTATACTCCTCGCTAGTGAACTCCACACAAAACTTCCACAGTCACTACGTCTCTCGGCCTCACATCAAACGTCACTCTGAAGCCTACGCCTGGACCCTTGATGAACGTATCCTCCAGTCGTCCAGAGATGATCTAATTTCCCTCCAACAGTGTGTTTGGACTGAATCCTGGCATAATCTCACAGACAGTATTAACCATTAGACTAGAGTGGGAGCCATGTGGCACCTCATCAACTAGGTTGTCAAGAAAAAGTCCTCTAGTGCCCTTCACCACGGCCCACCACCACCAGAGTATGCACAAAATCTTGTTGAAACATTGTCAGAACAATCCCAAGCCCATAATCTTCTGGAGCAAATTCAAGAGGCCCTCTCCTCCCAGTCAAATCTCCGCGCCCTTCATCTCATGGCGGCGTTGCTGAAGGTCGATGAAAAGGATACAGTGGAGACAACCGAGGAGGAACTGCGGCATGCCCTCATTCGGGGTAAGGCAACTGCCCCCGGTAATGACGGTGTCACCTACTCAGTTCTCTGTTTGCCCCTGAAAGTCCCCGGAAACCTCCTCCTGCTTTACAATCTGTCTCCAGACTGGGTATGTACCCAATACCTGGACCTCCAACACCATAGTACCTATTCCAAAATGTGGCACTGCCAAATTCAGACCCATTTCCCCCACCTCTTGCTTCAACAAGGTGATGGAACGTATTCTCCTTACCCGTCTCAAGTTTCGGCTGGAGGACAATCTCTCACCCAGCTCGCATGGTTTCTTACCACAATAGAGTACGCATCACTGTCTCATGTAACTCTATACTCACCTCGCCCCCATGAGTGTCGTACCCTTCATCGACCTTAAAAGTGCCTTTGATGATTCAAATAGATATTATCCTTGATCAGCTCGTAGATTTTGGTGTTAAAGGTAATTTCTTAAGATGGATTCGTGGATACCCCCGGAACAGAACCTCCCGTGTACCACCCTGTGGTACTCCACAGGGTGGTGTTCTTAGCCCTTAACTTTTAATGTCATTATGCATCTCCTACTTTCTTTTCTTCCTGGCGTTCCCGGCACCACAGTGACCTGTTACACAGATGATATCTGCATTAACTCTGAGTCACCGGAAGATCTTCAGCGCCTCCTCAACTCATTCTCAGCATCGTCTTCTGTTTGTAGTCTCATCCTCTCCCCAGACAAGAGTAGGATATTCTCTCCTCGTAACCCAGGAACACTCCCAGAATTCACCAACAAAGCTGCTGGGATTTCTATCCCCGTAGCCAAAACTGTTTACATCATGTTTATCCGATTTGTTGTTGACTACCTTTCTCCTGCTCTATGTAAACTTCCAAATAATCCCTAGATCCCCTTGAAAAGTTTCAAAACAGTCATGAGATTTATCTTGGGTTGTCCCACTTCCAAACTGAACTCAATCTTTCTTCCCTTGTTGAGAGAATATATGCTAATGTCTCCTGCTTCATTGTCAAATGTTTTCACTCTCCCCATCTTGCCTAGCACCAGTGATGCTAGTGGAGTGAAACATAAAAGGCAAAAGTCAGTGATGACCCTGGCAAAGAAAATTAAATTATTAGACAAGTTAAAGGAGGTTGTTTGGTGTGAAAGAATCCACAGTGCAGTACATAAGAATAAACAAGCAATTCGTGATTCTGTTCAAGCGAGTGCTCCTGCAAGTGGTGCAGGTTGTTCGTGACAGGAACATAGTAAAATCTGACATGGCTCTGAACATTCAGACTGGTACCGCAAAAATGTTCCGATTGACAGCAACGTGATTCATGAAAAGGCTAACGCCCGTATTATTAAACATCTTCCCTTGAAGAGGGTTGTCGTTTTAAACTAAATGAGTCCCGAGGGACACCGCAGTACAGTACTTTACGGGGTGGTGTGGCGGTAAGATTAACTAATTCCAATAAAATTCAAGGCAGCCAAGGACAGAGTGACGCTCATCTTGCTGCAATGCGGCTGGCCACATGATCAAGCCTGGCTTGCTTTATCGCTCAGCAACCCCTTCCATGGAACGTAGCTTTAAGATGGTTCGAGGAATCAACCAGGTATTGTTTCCCTACCAGGAAATGCTTAAAGACCTCAAAGCCAAGAGGAAACAACTTCCAATCACCATATTTACAAGAAAAAACCAGCTACTACCATTGCCACTCCACCCTCCTCCTCCCAGCCACCCACCCCTCCACCAACCACCACTGCATCACCCTCTTCCACCAGTGATCCTGATGATCCCCCGATGCTTCAGTAACCAGATGTCTCCCTATGTACAGTCCACCACTTCATCAAGCTCCAAACTTCCATGTACAAATGTAAGTACAGAATGTGACTTAAGTTTCTCATACACAGTCTTGGTATACCTGTATATTAGTGCACTCGGGTATTACTATGTATAAGTGGCTATTTGTGGTTTTGCCAATTCGCGCCATTTCTTGGAACCGATCCCTCACGAATGGCAAGGGTCTATTATATACCAAACAAAGTTCAGTTTTGGTTTGGTTTTATACTGTAAAACTCTTACCAAACTGGCTGCTCAGCAATTATTTCGGTATTGAGAGGCAATAATGTACGGTAGTTCACTTTTCACTAAGTGGTATGAACCAGGTTTTACACCATAATTGTGGTCGGGACGAATACAGGTATCACCTTCCATAATTGTCTAAGGAAGTATCATCATCTTACAGCCATTTTCCATACTTTAATGTATTTTTTCTTTATGGTCTCCAAATAAAAAACACATCAGAATTTCATCTAATTTTATGTAAAACACTTGAGGTTAAAAATACACAAAATGAAAAAGATTAAAGTCTGTATTCTAGATACAGAGAAATGTACAATCATTTATCACATTGTTTCACTTGAGGATATTAGCAGTACTCAACATGGGTCTCAGCAAATTTCCAGAATACAAGATCCAAGTACTAATTCTCTCTAGGTAACAGAGCAAGCTATGAGGCATAACAACACTGTCAGATAAAACTCTGATACATAAAAAAATGATAATAATATTAATGTATAAATAACAAATTTCTTTTAACATTGTCACTCCATTTGTCTCATAATATCTTTCATGTTGTAACCTTACCTATTACTGTACCATTATTCAGTTAACAGCTGTGTGTGGGTGGGGTGGTCTACAGAAACCTCCAAGAAAGGTCTACAATGTTAGAGAAAGATGTGCAAGTTAAATGTAGAAAAGAGACAGGAAACTGATGAAGCAAATGACTAGCTTCCAATTTGCTTATGAAATAAAATTGGAACAAATATCACATCAGTTTGTCAATAACCATATGAAAGTACAATACAGCATACAGCATTAAACTCTACAGCTGACATCTTAGAGAGAAGGTAAGGTTTCATCTACTGGTGAGGATTCATCTGCAGCTACTTTTTGTTTACTGCCAACCAACACCTAACTTGCCATGTTAATAAAATTAACAGTGACAGTGTGTGTGACAATAATTAAAGAACAAGTACTATGTAACACATCCCCTGTGAGACCATGAACCAAGGAACTTAGGCATTCTTTCATTATGGTTCAGTCTAACAGTAGCAATAAACTGGAGAACTCTGTACCTGATTTAAATATGGTATTGTACCAAGTAAAAGCAACCATACAAAGCAGTTAATGAACTTCTTTGTTGCCTCCCTGTACACTTGACTAAGCACAATAATGCACACCAAGCAAGACCCATCATGCAGGGCATATTAAAGTAACACATCTTAACTGATCAAATAAACTACAAAATCTACCACATAATCTTGTGTGTTCTCCAGGAACTATGAATAAAATTTAAGGAGAGAGAGAGAGAGAGAGAGAGATTTACCCAACAGTGTAAAACCAGCATCTGTCTTTTACCATAAAGGATAAAAGATTAAAGATGATGGATTTTCTGGTATGCCCCTTCCTGCATAACCTTCATCAGTGTTAAGCTGACGCTCCTCCATGCAAGGCAGCCAATGTAATTCCGGGAAATGCTGAAAGCACGATTTACCAACCAAATGTAATAACAATCACCTTTAAGTGAAGGAAAAAACAAACATGCTGCAAAAATGCTCACTGAAGGAGTTACTCAGAGTTTTGTACATTGTGCCTCTCATACAAAGATAAATGATACCATTACTTTTATTAATGAATATACAGGTGATTCACCTCAGTGGTTCCTTGTCACATGGGTTATATATACAATGCCAGGTAAATAACATCATCCCTCGGGAGTGTTACATTCGGGTGCCGTACAATTATTACTGAGCTGGGGAGATACTATTTGGCACGAGGATCCTAGCGTGCATCTCTCTAATGAGTGGCACTGTGTACGCCACCACCTCGTCCCATCCTGGATGACGCCAAGCATTTTCTCGAGCTTCCTTTCTTGCCTCCAGAGAGCTGTAACCTAGATGAGAGAAAGTTTGTGTGGATCATGTGAGCAGCAATTAAAGAAACACTAACTTACAATGACAACTGAACTAAGTATGGAATTATTTAACATACTTGCAGAACAAAACAGATGTAGAATATTTAGTTTCTTGTGTATCAAAGAACACTCAAATATTAATCAAAGGAAACTAATGTAACATTTCTCATACAAATGATCTTAAGTGAATACATTATACTGTACAGTACTATCAAATAACACTATCAACAACAAAAATAACAACTATATTTTACTAATATGGCTATTGCTATCCAGTACGCAGGACCTACATGATGTTTAAAAAATTATATAAGAACACTACAGAAACAACTTATAAAAAAAGAAGATATACAGTAACCCTTATCTATCTCTAGATGTACAGTACTGTACCTCACACAAAGTCTCCTAAAAAATTTCATGCACTGAACTTTATCATTGTAGCCAAGATGTGTAATAATTACCCAACTTTCTAGAACACTGTACCCTCATTAATTTGGATCGTTATAATTCAGATTTCGGTTTAATTCGTATATTTTTTCCAAAATGAATTGAACGATTTGAATTCGGAATGAATCTGAAATAACCGAGCGGTTCCGAAATAAATTATTATTACCCTGCATAAGAATATACAGTACAGGATACTGTAGTATATATTAAGAACTAGATGAAGATGAATGAATTATAGGAATAAAATATGAATTATATTAAAATACTGTACAAAACTGTGCTTGGTGTGTAGCTGGGGAGAAGAGGTGGCAGGGAGGGAGGGAGGGAGATAACTCACACCACCCGCTCAGCAGCCTGTGATCCCTTTATAACAACAGTATGCAATTTCACCATAATTCCCATATTATTTAGGCTCATTTGGTGTCGGGTTAATAAAACAGTATCAAAAATAATTAACTTCCCCCCCCAAAATCCCAGCGATTTTCCGGCACCCTTGATTCCAAAGCCTTGCTGGATTATCCGTTTTGCCGGACCAACCGAGGTCAACAATACACCTCTGACCCACTACTTATACACCTCCTGTGTCCCTAAAACACCATGGACTGCTAGAAACTTAAATTAAACAAATATTATATGTACAGTAAATTAAATGTGAAAAATAAGCATAATTTTGAGCTACATTACTGTACACACACTGTACTCAAATGGACTACACTAGACTAAAATTTTTATCTCTTGTGCAATTTATGTGATATTTATACTCAAATTAATGACTATCTTACAAGGAATCCAGTAATGTAAGTTATATTCTGTTAAGTTGGACCCTATCTCGTGACACATCCCGACCCTCCTGTACTGCTATTTACACCGGTGGTTCCCTAACACGGGGTCACGGCATCATAAGGGGTCACAAAGTTCAAAGGGTCGCTGGGCTCCCATAAAGCTCATGGGTTCGCTGGAGCGGTCACGTGTGATTTATTTTATTTATTTGTTTAATTCTAGATGTGAAGGACTAATGCATGTGGCCAACAGGTGCTGTCTCGTTTAAGTCGGGACCATATATTATAGTCGAGGGATTAACTCTTCCTGTTAGGTCAGGTCAGGTCAGCCCAGGTCAAGCTTGTCCTGATGACACATATTGCAATAGAAGTTCCACACTCCTATCCTTGAACTGTTCTCATCTCGGCTCACTCTCAACTTCTCAAAGATGCAGACAGAAAATGGCAGCAAGTTTCAATGATAGATTCTCCAAGTTACTTAAGGACTCTTTTGTGCTCAATTGGCAGGATTACAGGCTGGCAATGAGACAAGGGTGAATTTTGACGTCTATGAGACAGCTTTCTCGTCAATGGTGTTTATACAAAATGATTACCATAACCAAACATCAAATTTCAACTTCGAAAAGTGTGTGATATGTTGCTTAACCTCATATACCCCCAGGTATAGAATTTAATCAAATGATGATGTACACATGTCAAATAAGAAATGTGACAGTTGTAGCATACAACATATGACAGAAGTGTAACTTAAAAATTGTATGTTATGTTGTTTAATCACATAATTATAACCCCAGTTAAGAGAAAATTTATTAAATGATGATGCACACACACACATGAATTAGGACCGATGTAGCTTGTATTGATAATTAATTCAATGATGATGCATACACTTCACATAGCCAGAGCTGTAAAGTAACTGAATAAATATACTCGAATACTGTATTCAAATTACATTTTTGGGAGTTTACTTTTTACAAAGTATTTTTACTTAAGTAGAGTTTTCTAATACTTTTACTGCAATACCTTGTACAATTGAAAAATCAAAATACGTTACTCGTTACATATCCTAAGCAATAGTTTTAAATTTCCAATCACAGGACACAGGACAAACTTGGAAGCTATTCAATCACAAACGTTTCTTCACGTCTGGACCAATCACCTGTGTTCTTTCGTATCATTTCATCTACTGTATGTACCCAAACGACAAACACAGAGTTTAAGCACCCAAGCCATTCTTTCTGCCATCACTTCCTTGTTTGGTGCTACGGAGACAACAATCATCCACAAACTCCACAACTGAAGGAACTTGATAGCTGCTTGACATGCCCAGGGGATGAAATTTAGCTACTGAAATGTTTCTCAACATTGTGACTTATCTTTCAAGCTTAACACCCCTATACCTGCATCTGCTGCTTGTGAGCGTGTGTTTGGTCATGTTTGGTTTATATTTAGGTCTAAAAGATCCAAATTGAACAGCCATAATTTTGAGAATCTGTTATTGATTAATCTTAAAAGAAAAAATTACAAATAAGCAGTTTAATGCTGTGAATAAGAAAATAAGTGGGGAGAGGCTCAGTGCTGATACTGATGCTGTGGAGCCATTTAGGAAATAATTGAAGGACTTAATGGAAGCTGAAAACTTTCAATTATGCCAACTGTACAATGTAGATGAAACTGGACTCTTCTGGAGAGCTTTACCAGAAAATACACAAGCCTCCGTAAGTGAAAAAAGTATGCCTGGTTGGAAACTTTCCAAAGAACGAGTGTCTGCATTGCTGTGTGCAAATGCTGATGGGAGCCATATGCTTACACCTGTGGTTGTAGGAAAAAACAAGAAACCTTGCTCAATCAAGGACATTTTGCTCAGGCTTTCTGTCCACTACTACAACTCCAAGATTTCCTGGTTTACAGGAGCCATCACCTCAGACTGGTCTTTCAACATGCTGTGGTGGAGGCCAGGCATAAGCAGGTGGTAGATCTGAAAAACCCTGCTGATGAAATGAAGGCTATCATCCTCTTAGATAATGCTCCCTCACATCTCAACATTGAAAAACTGTGTAGCAGGGATGGAAGGATCAGGTGCCAGGCAGTGCCACCAAACACCACCTCTGTCATACAGCCAATGGATCAAGGTGTTATTTATGCTGCCAAAAGGCTGTACAAACACCAGTTTTTGGGTGAAGTGATGGAAGAGACAAGTGAGGATCAGGTGGAGGACACAAGAGGGTAGAGGATCCTCAGAAACTTGATGATCCAGCTCTCTAATTTTGCTGCTCCTGCCAAAGAAGTCAAGGCAACAACCCTCATCAATGCCTGGAAGAAGCTCCTTTATGACAATGAGGAGGAGCATGAATTTGAGGGCTTCACATCAGAAGATTGCCACAGAAGCCTCCAAGCAGGAGAGAAGGATGCTACAGTTGAGGTTGTGGAGGCTTGGCTGGAGGCTGATCCTGGGTACCACAACTTGACAGAGGAGGAGATTGTGGACTCTGTACATGAGGCTGCAGACGACTATGATGATGATGATGAAGAGAAGGACGGTAACCACAAAAATATAGCTGCCAGAAGCTAGGGACTGCCTGGACACCCTTACAGAATTTACTCGTCATACTAAAAATGAAAAAAGACCAAAAAAAAGGGGGGCCAATTATGATCACTTAAAGGCACTTGAGGTACTGTCAGACAGCACCAAAGTAACAAGGTCACTCAAACAAAGAGTGACACTTTTTTGAAGCCTCCTTGCCCTCACCATCAACCTCCTTGGCTGAGGAGGTTCCTCTTCCTATCCTCATTTTCGACTCGGACTCAGAGTGACTGCAAGACTCCTGCAGTCAGAGACATGTCCAGGTGGATCTGCCTTCCATTTTTGGGGGGTAAGTATACACTACATTGTGTGTATTACTTTTTTTTAATTAATTTTTATTAAAAACATTTCATTTGTGAAAATAGGATACATTGGTGTAACACTTTTTTTTTAAATGGGTCTTTTTTTTATTTGCTCCTAAGTGGACACCCTCTTATTCCTGACACCCCTTCTCCCCAAGTAGTTCCCCTTAGTGAGGTTTTACAGTATTGACTCGGTATTATATTCTCATATGATTCTTTTCTTATGGTTTATGGTTCATCATGATTAATATAACATCTTCAGTAATAGAGAAAAAATACAATACTGTATGTAATTTGTAATATAACTTGTAAATAAAAGGATAAGCTGTATCAGAAGGTTATTTACTCAAGATGCATTCATGAGAGCTTTCAGTCTGCTGAAAGCTCTCACAGGGGTCACTATAACACACTGTATAGTATTTTATGAGGATACCTTCTTAAAAACATTATTTACTACCTTTGAGTGTTATATGATGGCTTAACATGGCTACTTGTACACTTAGACAAATGATTAATGAATAAACCAGAGTATATGTAGATGCACAATATTGCACACTACAATAATATTTATTAAGTGATGATAAATACACCACTATAGTATTTATTAAGTGATGATAAATACACGACTGTACTGTACTAATTTACTAAGTGTTGAAGACAGACATTGTGGTAAGCTAAATGACTCACGGTGTTCAGTGCGGGATTCTTTTTTCAGGAAAGCCGATTCTTTTAGGATAATATTTTATCACCCTGGCACCAAGTGATCCTAAATTATATGAGAAATGTGGTGAAAATGTATAAAGAAGTGAATCAAGGGTGAGGGAGCCACCCACCCATGCAGCCCCCCCCCCCCTGCTCCAAGATAAACATTCATCTTCCACATACAATATACTCCTACACTTATCTTTATAGTGTACAGTATACAGTTTTCTCTTTATTCATGAGACAAATTCTGTGGTTACTTACACACAACACTTTACAGTAAATAACAATCATCTCGGTGACAACCAGACTTATATGTCCGATTTTCAACCCCGAGAGTTCTGTTTCATATTGTCATGGGTTGCGTTGGGCCTACCCAGCGCAACCCATCCCAAATGTTTGTTTACAGTAGATAAGGGACCAGGCGAGCCGTGATTCTGTCATCGCTATTTCATTAGTGGATATGTGAGCTAGTCTATGGGAGGAGGAGGGGGAGATTGAGACTGTGTATTGTTCACCGTGTCTCACGCCCAAAACCGCATTTTAGTCAGTGGGCTTTAGACCTTGGGTTATAGAAGACCTCCTGCTCCGCGGACTTACGAACAGGGGCTATACAGTCCTACCAGTGCTACGAGTCTGTGTGTGCAAATCCCCGAGATTGTTGTTAAGTCCAGCGACAAGTTAACACATCCTGTAAAGGAAGTGATCAATGGTGAGGGCCTGTTTGCTATAAGAGCACTCCAGGCCGGCCTAATAGATCTAAACGATTAATTCTCCAGGTTGACAAACTCTCCCTTATAATTTACGGTACTGTGGCGTGAATGTGAGTGACTGACCTATCATGCAAATTATAAGTCCAGTGTATGGAATTGTGCCAAATAAACGTAAGTGCAATGATCTGCCCATATCTGTGATCCTATCTTATTATTACTAAAGGTAATGACTGATTGGTTGTAACAAAGTATAATCAATAACTTAGATGGATGTTGGAAATTAATGGAATTCATTAAATCATCATTTATCAAGTACACAATACATTGAATGCCGGAAGCAGAGTGAAATTCTACGTAGTGATACACCATAATCTCCTGGGTGAGTAACCAGTGTGAAGGTATCTGAGTTCTACGGTAAGAAAACCACTTTCCTGCATTTAAAACGTAACACATATTTTTTTATTGTTGATGTAATATTCTTTTAATAACCTTGTTACACACTTAAAGACCTTAGTTGTTGAAGTGCAGTAATAACATAACGACTGATTTTCTTTGAACAGTTCAGATGAGCAGTGTTACCCCCCCACCCCCCCTCATATATGGGGTGTTTTCGGACTTGGGTCTGCCTCAATTAGTCCGATTTTGAGAGAGAGAGAGACTGACTGGATAGGTAACAGCACTAGAAGGGTAAATGCTTGGGAACCCCTGATTGACAAAGTAGTTTCCTCCTAGTGCACACAAGATTCTGACAAATGATTATATTAGCTATGACTCCCACCAAATGTTTCAATCAATCTCTGAAGACATTGTAAGTTGTTTGATAAATAATACATAAATTAAGATCCAAGGAAAAATTGAAGCCTAAAATGTCATCTGTGATTGTATGGGTCAAGATAATTACATAACACCTATCACCTCACACACTCATAAAATATTGTATATATATAATAGAAAATAACAAATATAATACATTAACATGCAAAGATGACAAAAAGAAATAAAGCATAATATACTGAATATATAGAGAGAAAATAATCATGCAAATACTGAATACACATTAAGCCCAGTTTACCTCTAGTGCTATCTGGTGACAAGCAATATAATTTTCTTAATCACTAACATGTGTTTTGATTATTTTACTCATGGAGACACAGTCACATAACTCTTGCAATTACTGGATGAACTGAAGTTTGCCAGTCAAGAAATAATTCACTTGTATACTGTAAATATATAGCAGTTTACAAGGTTTTCCACTACTTCCATAATATTCTTTACTATAACACCCAAGTACTATATACTGTGCATCTATTGACTGTGTAAGCATGTCAAATTGTTTAAGTTACTTTGCATAATAATAGATTACACCAGTTATTACGTCTCTATGATTACACCAGTTATTACGTCTCTATGATTACACCAGTTATTACGTCTCTATGATTACACCAGTTATTACGTCTCTATGATCGTGATACTGTACTCGAGTCCAGCGGAAAGTACTGTGTCCCTGGTAAAGTAGTACTGTACTCCACTGTACATAGGGGAGACTGGTCAAATGAGCCTCCACCTGACCACCCACCCACATTGTTGACCAGATCTAATGCCATGGTCCTATGGTTCCCCAATCCTAATGGTAGAGTTAAGTTAGGTTGGGGTCTATTAGACTTGTAACTGTAAATGGGAATATAACAGAAGCTTAAGATGAAATAAAGAACTGGTAATTCAACATGGACAATATTTTGTAACACCCTACAAGACTTTACATTGATGTGACAAGTGATGACCTTATACTGTAAAAGCCTAAATATTCACATGTACTGCTCATTTTTCCAGGTATATTTCATAATACTGATTATATATCCTTCAAGTGGTGGTCACAAGTATTACTGATGCTGATGAAGATTAACAAATACTGTATATATTTTAACATAATTTCATTGATTAATGCCACTTGGACAGCCCAGGCTCTGTATTGGCTCAGCCATGTAAATATTATTATTATTATTCAGTCTGTATCTGTAGTTTTTGGATAAAAAAACTGTTTCAATATCAACATATGAAAAATATATGAACTAAATATTTCATTCAACTTCTCAGCTCAGGCTTTCCCCACTAAAATGCAGTGATTGTTAACAAAGAAAAACACCAACTACAGTACCTTTATTTGCTCTCAATTAATCAGTATAACATTATGTGTTCTACAACAGTGCAGTAAGTTCTCCTATAATGTGTGCTTTTATAGCACACATGAATGTATTATGGAACACATTTTATATAACATGATGCGATTTGGATATAACGCGACTTTGTAAACAGAACTGTCACAAGTAGGAATAAGCAGTAATGCAGTGTGCCACCCCCACAGTCTTTGTTTACCTCTCATATGCATCAGTTATGTTAATGTGGACTGTGCTTTATCTTAATATAGTACAGTACAGTATTGTATTAATGTTATTGCTTTTAATTACAATGCATGGCAAAAGTGTGAAGCATTCTGGGAGTGGTGGAAGTGAAAGTGAAGTAAAATGAAGAAAAGCTGTAACTCTAGAATAATAATTAGATGTGATTGTGGTATGAACCCTCACCTACTCCATCTTCTCTTCTTGTGGTGAATGTTAAAACATTCTTATAAGTTTATTTACATTCCTTGTAGTCAAAAGTGTTTGGATTTAATTTGTTTTTAATTAAAAGCTGTTAAGCAAGTCACACCCCACTACTTTATCATTTCTGTTCTGTACCCTCCTTCACACCTCCATTTTCTATCGTATAACAACGTAAACTAACACATTGTAACATGCATTTTTCCCCCTTTTCATGTTTTTATTCTATTATTGATCACATTAAACTAAAACACAGTTACTAAAAAATAACACCCAAAATAACAATACTGTATTATGCAAGTGAAAGTGGATCCCATGTCAGTCCTGTTGGTGTTCTTGAACTAGCTTCCCCATAAAGCAGTGTTTTCCAGGAACACAACTACCTGTACAGTACTACAATGTACAACTGACTGTACTGTGTTCCCCTTCCACAAGAAAGCCCCAAACATCCAAAAATGAATCACTTTCGACTTAGCCCTCTGGTTATTTACAAACATTACTGCTTCCTGGATGTCCATCCTCCTCACTCTGGCAGCCATAAGGAGTGTGACATGATGTTATTTCCACAATGCCTCCCATTGTCATGGTGACCACTGACGCCCCATACAATCTCCCCATCTCCTCCTTGTCTTCCCATTTACTGATTTAATTCTCTTTAAATTTACAGTTTTTGTCAATCTTTTTTTCTCATTCTCTCAGTATGTTTCCTCCACCTAACCAAACTCTGGTCCACTATTCACAAGACAGACACTTCCACACCTCCTCCACACTTTATTTCTTCTTATACAAAGAAAAACATCCAAAATATTGCTGTCAAGCAAGTCGTTTGTCTCTTCCTCTTCCAACTAAGAGCCATGGTTGACGGATTGACCAATGAAACAAAATATTTAAATTACCGAATATGGCTGCCAGACTGCAATTGATCCAACACATGTTTCACTAGTTCATATTCAAAGGTTACTCAGTCCATAAAACTAGTACAGAACATCTCCCGGCCTTCACGTATACTAGTGATGTTTCATGTACTACCCGGCACAACTTGCTAGTTACTGATGGATATTATGTGACAGTGAATCTCCTGGTGCCAGTCATCCACAGAAACAACTGTATAGGAGAAGACGACATCCACGATGATGATCCGTCTGTTTAGTTACTGTCACACTACAACCTCCCCTAGTGATGTGGCCTGTGTTACAACCTCCTCTAGTGATGTGGCCTGTGTTACAACCTCCCCTAGTGATGTGGCCTGTGTTACAACCTCCTCTAGTGATGTGGCCTGTGTTACAACCTCCCCTAGTGATGTGGCCTGTGTTACAACCTCCCCTAGTGATGTGTTAGCCAACCTCCCTAGTGATGTGGCTGTGTTTCCTCCCCTAGTGATGCCTCCCTAGTGATGTGGCCTGTGTTACAACCTCCTAGTGATATGAGCTGTGTCCACCTCCCTAGTGATGTGGCTGTGTTACAACCTCCTAGTGATGTGGCTGTGTTACAACCTCCCTAGTGATGTGGCCTGTGTTACCACCTCCCCTAGTGATGTGGCCTGTGTTAGCCTCCCTAGTGATGTGCCTGTGTTACAACCTCCCTAGTGATGTGGCCTGTGTTACCACCTCCCAGTGATGTGGCCTGTGTTACAACCTCCCCTAGTGATGTGAGCTGTGTTTCAACCTCCCCTAGTGATGTGGCCTGTGTTACAACCTCCCCTAGTGATGTGAGCTGTGTTTCAACCTCCCCTAGTGATGTGGCCTGTGTTACAACCTCCCCTAGTGATGTGAGCTGTGTTTCAACCTCCCCTAGTGATGTGGCCTGTGTTACAACCTCCTTACTTCATGTTTCTCACCACACTCCATTCTTCAATCTCTCTTTGCTCAATTTCATCTAAAAACCAATTCTCAGGCAAGATGTTAACTCCACACACTTTGCTTTGTTTTTATAAGACGATGATGTATCAGAGCTGACCTGGCACAAGTCTAAAGGCTGTGTACAGTATTAGATCTTACTGGTGATAATGATGTTAACTGTACAGTACTAGATTTTGCTAACCAGACTTCCATGTCACAGATACCTATATCAATTATTATATTAAAAGTTATTTTATAATTTGAATACCTAAAGATAAAAAAAAATAAGATAAAATCATGATCTATACAAATCTAGACGACTATAAAAAGTATTGGTCTTAGTCAAAATATCGAGTCCACTGATCTGATTTTGTGAGAATAAAAATCTTAAGAATTTCAGTCAGGTTCAGAGGATTGTTGTTTTTATAATGTTATTACTGCGCTTCAACAATTAAGTTTTTAAGCGTGTAACACGGTTAGTAACTCACTAGTCCAACAATAGTGAGATAGACTTATCAAAGAGTTATCAGTCATTGGTAATTTCTAATAATAAAAATTTTCAGTATGAAAGCGATTCTTTTTTCTGAATATAATCTGGTTAACTAACACGTGTACTGTATGTCACTGTGCTTTTAGCCGAGGTTGTTTACACTAATTATATAAAAAAAAGGAATAATTGCCCTGTGTATATTTGGTCAGGTTGGGAACACCACACATCCTCCTACATTACCTCTGAGCCATCCAGGGCTGCCACCCAGTACTGGCAACACAACCAAAGATATGGCAGCCAGACACAGTTAACCGAGGCAATTAATTTTGTTTTTTGTACAACTTGGGGTGTGAAGGTCACTACTGAACCCCCATCTCCCTTATGGATATGAAAAGAGTAATTCTTAAATATAATGAAACCTGAATTTTCTGATACAGGTAAACTATTGAATAATATTTACATTAGTTATGTCTAATCTTGTTTACATATAAACAATCTCTCTAGCAAATAGAAACACTGTACTATATAATAAAATATTCAGGTTCCATTAGTTTTATATCTTCCTCACATACAGAACATCACTGTTCTTAAACTCAGTTTAAACAGGAGGGGGGAAAGACTTTTCCCAGCAGCAAAATGATCAGTAGAAAAGATCACGAAAAACTCTCCCACGTTTTTCCTCAAAACTTGTCTAATTGTGAGATACACAACATGAGAAGGATTGCAAAATCAAGTGGACCCCAGTCTTAATAGTCCCCTAACTAACCTAACCATTAGGACTGGGTCCTATGAAGATGGTGTCCATTAGGACTGGGTTCTGCTTGCACGGGACCTGTTAGGAATGAGACCCATTCACCATATGAGAAGGTGTCCATACTGGGCCTCTGATTTTTCTCTATCTTTACTTTCCAGTGAAACACCTGTACACTGCCCTGAACCTTGGCAGGTACATAAACATCTGTCAAAATCTGATCAGATGTGAGGAACAAATGACATGAAGGATGGATGATACTGAAGCACACCGTTCAGCGGTATTTATATGTAAAAGAAACTACTCCCCTTACTATCTTACCAGGGACAAATACTCTCACAACACTGAATAACTTATACCGTACAAACACTGGCAGACAGGATGGTGGTAACACATACTATCTACCAAGTGGCTCTATGTGTACTGTATTAATGTTTAAAAATAGTTTTCAGCTGGAGTCCTCCTCCTCTTGTATAGCCTCCTTAAAGGTAAATGAAATTCCAGAAACAAATGCCAAAGAAATACATTACCCATAACTGTTCCTAAGAGCCATGACCAATTATCTGCACAGTTATATCACACAGCATTAGTCATGGCCAGAGCAAACCTTACTTTCTTCAACCTTACATTAGGTGACCACGTCAAGGTATTGGCTGACCTAATTTGTGGGGCTGAAGGAGTTGGGGAAGAGGATACGAGAGTAGTACTCCTCTATGAGGGGAACAGTGTAGGCAACAACCTCGTCCCAACCGGGTTTACGCCATGCAGATTCTCGGTTCTCCTTACGATCCTCCAAACTCTTGTAGCCTGGATATGGGAGCAGCATCACACAGCAACATTAGAGCTGAGCATGCAATGAATATCTTAAGGCTGATGTTATGATCATATGGTTACTTTGGTTCACTTACTGTTTGTAAAATTAAACATTTTTAATAAGAGCAATTTTGGACACAAACAATTCTTAAGGAACTCTTTTTAGATACAGAACTACCGAACTGTACAGCATTTAATGACACTGGATTTATGGTAACTTACTGGGCTTCTAAATTCAAGTTCCCAAATGTCAAACTGATCAAAATTGAAATTAAATGTAAACAAATTAATACCGTCACTAATTATCTTTAAGTAGATGTACCAGCAACACCACCAGAGTAACCAAGATAATCATACATTCAACATCAATCCTCAGTCATAAAAAAAAAAAAAATTAGGAATCTCTTCTGTAATCTTGCTGCCTATAACAAATAAAACAAAATCAACAAGTGTATGTCTTAACATGTTATTGAGTACTAGTATTAAAAAAAATAAATACTACTACTACAGTTTCTTAAATATAATGTGAGTATTACTTAACACCACTATTATTATTTCTTACTACAGTTAAGTGATGTGACTTGACACTACTGTACAGATATTACACAACACAGATCGTTAATTTGAAGATTTCATTTATGGTTCAATGGAGTGGTTTGGTGACCTTAACCTAACCTAAACTCTTCCTGTTCCACCCCATGAAGCTGGAAAAGGTGAAAGGTTCATTGTGGAAAGGAGAGAGAATATTGACCTCAGTGAAAATCCTGGAGTGAATTATCTTTGCCAATCATGGTGTTGGCTTCTAGTAGGGTGGCTCATACAGTCTACTCCAAACAATTTAATCATTATCTTCTTTGTAACTTTGGCAACTTGTCAAATACACTCAAATTCTAATAATTTCCAATCCAACCTAACCTAACCATCAGGAGTGAGTCTCATTCTAAAGGTTACTCAGTATTTATTCAGGTTGGAATTTATTCGTATAGGTTTACTAGATCTGCAACTTCACAGCTTCAAGGGTCAAATGTCTTGCAATTGTTCAATTATTTTTTAGGGTTTCTGTATGTTAGTTTGGCTATCACTTAGGTGCATTTTCATTGTTTGTGTTTAAGTGAAGCTGTTGCCACCTGTTTGTACATAAGCTAGGACCATTTGCTTGCCCTTACAGAGAAGCTACTTCCACTTGCTTGTACTTAAGCAAAGCTGTATGAAAAGTAATCCTCATCAAGTACACACAAGGGGGTAGACCAGGTGGTGGTTGAGGAGAGACACACAGGGAACAACTCAATATGGACACATTGTAATGAAAAGTGCGACTAAATTATTTGGCAAAAACTGATGTTAACTGCATAATATCCATATACAACTAACTTAAAAAAGCAATAAAGCATAGAACAATTATGGGCAACTCAATACAGTACAGCACTACACAAGAAAATAAAACTTGTGCAAGAACTTGCCTAAACTACAGAAAAGTAAAAGAAATAAAATATTTAGTGTACATGATACCATTCTTACTTACCAGACCCAGTATAACAACCATCACAGTACTGTCAACTACCTCTACTTAAGGGGTGGTCAAGGGTGTAGCATGCAACCAACAAAGTCATTATAATGAGCATGCGCCCCTTCACAAATATGACAAGTAATCCAACTGCATTCTTCTCACAGAGTTTTATAAAAAGCAATATCTGGCAGGAAATGTCTCGAAAATACCCTCTAAGAACTCAAGACACTGTGTACTACATGAGCGATGACAATTTGTGTAATTATTTCTAACATGCCACATCCTGCTTCTTGGTGTGGCCAATGCAACATTTCTCATACATCATGCTGTTGACCTGGTCACCACCTCAGTCCATTTTAACACCACAAGATACACATTGTTCCATGCAATCTGTGCAGTAACCTCCGGGAGAAAAAATTAATACAGAATATTATTACATCAACCTTTTAAATATTATCATTCTGTACTATGTATACATAGACAAGCTTCATTTATGTAAAGATGTTGTTTAATGCTTATGTAAATACAGCAAAGTACAGCAAAGTACACCAATCACGTGGGATACCATACTTGCAAAAATTAAATGGTCTCAATTTACGCGGGTTTCCTTTACGCGTTTGGTCATTTACGAGGCACCTGGCCAGACCGGCAATTATTATTTACGCGGGAAGCGGCGTGGGCAGAGTGCGCACTAGGTCGCCCAGTCAACAAAACATTCCCGAGTTCTGCACTCGCCACCCACCACAGCCGGCCCAAGTTAGTGATAGTGAGGAGATGGACTTTGACAAATAGGCCCTGTAAGCCTCTGTGGTGGATAGTGATACAGGTGATACAAGTGATACAGGTGAGGGCCAATAATCTGCCCTCTGCCTCGGAACAAACCCCCCATCCCCGTGTGCCCAGCCATCTCTTCTACTAACGTAAGTGTTAAAAACCTAATATTATTGATATTTCTCTTAAATATTAATTGTGTGTGCATACCATCATAAAATTAAGATGTTAGTTTTACTACAACATATGTATTGTGTCAGAAAAAGGGTAGTCTGGGGGTCGGCCCAGTCTCTATTTCAATTAATCCCATATGTTCTGTTATTTCGTTTACGCGTTTCTCATTTTACGCGGACCTCCACGGGTTTAATTGACCGCGTAAACCGAGACTATACTGTACAGTAGTTTAATAATCCTACTGCCATATGGCACCACCAAAATTGTGACCAAGTCCCAGGTTGCTGATCTGACTTTCTGCCTCATTTACACACAATTACAGTCTCAATTGTTTCTCTTACTTTGACAACATAAAATATACAGTACTCTATATCGTTTCTCACTAAATCTTTTTTCCATTTTTGTTTTATGATGAAATTTGTTTCTTCTTTTGATCCCCCCGCCCCCCATGTGGGTTGGTGACCTGTGCATGGGTGGGCTCACCCCCATAAAAAAATTTACTTATTGTTTCAGCACTTTCCAACACATTCTACAGAAGTCTTACACCGTACTCTCCAATGATCCCCTCATCCTTGAGGTGTGTGTGTCCCTTGTTCCAATCCACACAAAAGCAGAAGAGAAGTGAAGATTTCAAGTAAAGACACAGACAGACAGACAGTGTATGATAGACCAACCCTGACGTATACGAGTAGAACCCCCTCAGACACAGTCCCGTGTCACCTGACAACAGCCAAGAGATAATGACAGTCATTATAAATACAGGTATACCTCCTCAGTCTGCGTGGAATATTAAATCGCTATAGGGCCGACGAACTAAGTTCTCGCAAAAATAAGATCATATGTTGTGAAGGCTGTCCTGGGATGGGAGATGTCAAAACACTTGGTTTGTTGGCAAGTGGTGATATCTGGCAACTAAGCACACATCATGGCTTGTAGTCAGTGCGCCTCTGGCAACTGTGAGGGGAAGATTAATTGCGTGGGTTCCCGCGCCATGTGGCCGTGTTTTGTCTAGTTTAAGGTGCATTAACCCGACATAGTGGCCATCAGAGATGTCCAGGAGGGTTACTACAAGAGAAGATATTGCAGCAGTGATTGCATTGTACAAAGCAAACCATGTACCGAGACAAATTTCGGCTCGGACTGGTGTGGGGTTGCGTGTTGTTCAAAATCTTGTCAAGCGTTTCCGTGAGCTTGGAGAGGACGTGTTACCATCTCCATTACCTAAGTCTGGTAGGCCTAAATTATTGTCTCCACGGACACTTAAGGTTATTTCTCGACAAGTTCGGTCCAATCCCTCACTCACAGCACGTGATGTGAAAGAGAGAAACCCTTGTCTTTTGAGTCACATCTCGTTACGTTGTGTTCAACAAGCCCTGCACGATGACCTGGAATTTAAGAGCTTTCGTGCCTGCCGTAAACCTCTGTTGACGAGGAGACAGAAGGAAAATAGAGTGAAATTTTGAAAGAAATATGAAGTGTGGGATTTAGAGACATGGAGGAGTGTATTATGGTCGGATGAGGCTACATTTTCTGTGACTGGTAGTAGTGGAGGGAGGTGTACCCCCCACTCAGTACACTGTAAAGACTATTAAGCACCCGCCTCAGCTTATGGTTTGGGCTTCCTTTCATTATTATGGTGTTGGTGAACTAGTAATCCTCCTAAGAACCAGACAATGAATCAGTACAACTATCTTCAACTGCTCAGTGACTTCTTACCTGAATCATTTGATAAAGCTAAGGCAAGCCTTTTCATGCTGGAATGATTGCCCCATGCCACACTGCTAAAGGTGTCATACAGTGGCTCAAAGACTGTGAGGTACCTTTCTTTAATTTCTGGCCTGGCAGTAGAGCCCAGATCTTAAACCAATAGAAAATTTGTGGTCCATTGTTGTCGTTTGCAAGGCGTTGAGACATCATCAATCGAAGCTAGAGGCAGCCATCAAGGATACCTGGGCTAACTTGCCACATAACCTCTTGCAAAACCTTGCTGACAGTGTTCCTCAAAGGCTAAAAAACTGTCTGAAGCGCAGAGGAAACACTACAAAGTATTAATTGAAGTGGTAAGTGTTACTTGACTTTATTTATATAACATAATCGTAAATATGCATATTTTTTCAGCACACGATCTAACAATCCGCGCAGAATGCATACCACAGACTGGCTTAAATAAGTCATTATCTAAAGAAGACCTGTGCACTAGTGCTTCATCAATATATGAGGCCAGTTTGAGGGATGAAACATATAACATGGCTCACTATAAACTTATTGCACACAAAATTTCTATTTCAGAGTTTTTGGAGGCATTTAGATTTCTCATACACATTTCACTCAGTCTACAAGGTTAATGTCCACATACTCTTTAAAATCCTGAAATTGGGTGAGTAATA